CCCTCCCCACCCAGCCCCTCCCTCCCCACCCAGCCCCTCCCTCCCCACCCAGCCCCTCCCTCCCCACCCAACCCCTCCCTCCCCACCCAGCCCCTCCCTGCACGACGGACACAATAATCCCCTGTGGGCTGGTGTAACCAGTAGATTCCTACCAGTAAAATGGCACGGCATATGGGGGCCTTCATTCAACAGTGAATTGGCAATGGGCTCAAAAGTGGTCCAAAAACATAAACCGTTGCACACCAAGGTGGGTGTTGTAAAGACGAGAAAGGCATCGTGGGAAGCATCCACATCGCCTTGCAAGCCCCACTACAGCTTACGTGATAGATGTGTAGGGGTGTTAAAGAGAGGGCCCGTTATGCATGGCAGCCTATGGAAAACAAACACAGTGGGCGGGGCTACGTAAGTGCACGAGGAGATGCCCTCTACGACGTCCGAGCCAGACACCCTGGGGGGGCTGGTTCGAACGTTATGATCCCCCGGGGCCCCACCCCTCAGGGAGGGGTTGGGTATAAAAGGGGATGTTTCAAAGGGCTCGGGAGTTATGTTTTAAGCTAAAGGAAGAAGACTGAAGACGTCTTAGATAGAGCCCTGGACTCCCCTAGTTCGATGTCCTTTTCAGGGCCGGACAGGACTGAGCCAGCGGCATGGTCCCGAAAGCCAGAGCCGGTGCTCTTGTAAGAGTTGGTCTGGAACTCCGGGTACCGGGCCCGACTTACCAGTGTCAGGCCAGATAGCCTCCCCTAGCCCATTAGTGGAGGACTCGGGGCTAGGACAGTTAGCTAGGGGTGTATCCCGAGTTATACGGGTGAGGGGGCCGATACCCCCTCGAGTGTTATATGCCCACTGTCGTATTGTGAAATAAATATACGTGTGCCTCAACCTCGGTGTCAAGCGTCCTCACCGGTACTTCAGATGCATGGCAGTCGAGTGAAATGACCAGTGTGTCAAGTGCAAACAGGCTTCACCCTTATAGGGGGGTTATAAGCGCACTGCTACCCGACATGACAATTGCACATCAGTTTCACCTTTATTAGGAATCGTTAAGTCCGTGACGCCCCCGCCATCTAACCCCTAACGGTACCGTAATAAACAAAAAAAGAAGAGTCCTTCTTCTAGAACGGAAAAATGTTGGGCTTCCAGATGTCAGCAATGAAATTGTATTCGAAGCCATTGAATGTCGAAGGTTCGACTGTGCAGCAGTTGGGGGCCTCAAGCAAAAGAGATGGCAAAGTGTGGCAGCATCAACAGCTGTGATTATGATGACCCCCTGACCTTGAGCTTTGGGCTCGAACACACACGGTGACCCTAGAGGTCAAACTCTGATCTTATTTTAATGTATACAGCGCCTTAACCAAGGCGCTGAACGGAGGGGATTGGCAATTTGTACAGCAGAACGGTGTGCTGATACGTTTTTAAGGACGGTAGTACATGAATATGATGCGTGAAATATACGACGGTGAGTGGATAATGAGCGAGTGTGATGGATGGATGGATAGACAAGTTGGGAAGAGGGACAGTGTTAATAATGGTGAAGGGAGGGGGAAGGAAAGTTTTGGTAAGCAAGGACAAATAAGTGGGTTTTGAGGGAAGAATTAAAAATGGACAGTGGGGCTGATTCAATCTTGACTTAAAGCTTTCGTGACTGCAGGAATTCATATTCTTTGGGTCTTTCGGTAAAGTCTCGTCGATAGGTTAAAATTAATTTTAAAAAACTACAACGTTTCGATCGCTTGTGTTGTGATCGAAACGTCGTAGTTTTTTGTTTATTTTATTAATATTAATTTGAACCCATCGACGTGACTTTACCGAAAGACCCAAAGAATATCGTGGGGCTGATTGTTTGACGTGCAGGGGCAGTTTGTTCCGGTGAGAGGGGGGGGCAGATAGATGCGAGAAAGAACGGAATCGTGATTGGGCACAAGGAGAAGACGGAACAGAGGAAGCTGGGATTGTGAGCAGAGAATGTCGAGACAGAGCGGAGAACGAGACAAGGGACGTGAGATACGTTGGGGCGAGACCACGGAGAGATTTGTAAAATAGGGCAAGGAATTTGAAGAGGCAACGATAGACTGGTAGCCAGAGTGTGGCTGGATGAGGAGAGGCGGGTAGGGGGAGATTGAAGATGATCCAGGCAGCGGCATTTTGGATTTACGAGTGATTTCAATGCGTAGGAGGGAAGACCGAGCATGAGTTGCAGTAATCGAGTCGAGTGAAGATGAGTGAATTGGAAGTTTTGTGGCCGTCGTTGAGATGAGGGTGCGGACCTTTGCGAATGTTGTACAGGTGAAAGCGGCAGAAACGGGTAGTGGCAGACATGTGGTCGGACAGAGAGAGAGAGGAGTCAAATATGACGACACGATTATGCGCAGATGGAGATAGGATGGGAAGGAGGGGAACTGGAAGCAGGGAGGAAAATAATTTTGGTTTTGGAAGGAACACGTCCCATCGGAGTGGGCAAGTAGGAAGTTGGTTGGACAGCGCGTTCGTGCGATCCGTGTCATGCGGCGCGTCACGTGGTGCTGAGCCCGCCCGAAGCGCTTTATGAAATACAAATCGAGGGCGTGGCTATGCACGACAGACGGACAAATAATCCCTGGTGGGCAGTGTAGAACTGTTGTTCCTACTTGTAGAAAATCATTGAGATTTTTTTGAAGGATGAATACACAGAGAGTGCTGGGGAGATCCAAGATTGGATGGTGACCAGGCAGGTGGAAATGTGAGAAGCAAGGTCAGGAGTGAAAGGGAAGGAGAGAACATTTTAATTTTACAATCTACAGGACCCCTTTTGCCAGTATTAAGATAAAAATTAAAATAAAAGGCAATAATTCAAATGTTCAAACAACCACGTAGACACCTATTTGGTGTTTTCTTATTTTTTATCATCTTAATTTTACAACATTAGATCTCCTTTTCCAGTACCAAAATATAATAATAGGGGTTTTCCCCTTTTTCCTGGCAACAAAACTGAAACCTTTTTACAAGGAATCATGTCTGCATTAACCACAATGCTTGTGGTCAAAATGCAAACAAAAAACACGCTCTGATAACATATGCATTGATAATTGGTTTTTTTACCCTTCTATCTGGCAACAAAACCGACACCTTTTTTTACAAGGAGTCATGTTTGCATAGACCAAAATACCTGCAGTCATAATGCAAACAAAAACATAACTGATAATGTATGCACTGTCCTTGAAGTTGATTGGTCCACATCCGAGACAGCTTTCCTTAGAGCCTCGTCTCACATGGGTTGGACCAGATGACGCCAAAAGGTGTCAGTTTTGTTGCCAGATAGAAGGGTAAAAAAACAATTATCATATTTTTTACTGGCAAATGAGGTTCCAATGGTGTAAACATATGCACTGTCCTTGAAACTGTTTGGTCCACACCAGAGGTGGCTTTCTTTCGTCTCGATTGGTGCTAGACCAGAGGAGGCCAAAAGGCGTACAGCTCAAAGACAATGCACTATCAAAGTAATGAGGGCTCGGGGTGAGCATCTACATCATTAGACCCCCTTTGCCCAATTGAGACGAAAGAAAGCCGTCTCTGGTGTGGACCAATCAGTTTCAAGCACAATGCATATATTATCAGAGCGTGTTTTTTCTTTGCATTTTGACCACAAGTATTGTGGTTAATGTACACATGATTCCTTGTAAAAAAAAAAGTTTCAGTTTTGTTGCCAGAAAAAAATGGGGGGGGGGGGAAGACCCCCTAATATTATATTTTACAACTTTCAAAAACCGACGACCAATTCACTCGGAATGCACCCGGACCTCTTGCGGATCTCGGAAGTCGAGCAGATATGCACAAAAGGCGTTACAGGCAGCTGCAGGGGCACTACACCAAGGGCTAGAAGTGGCAGCAAAAGTCATTGTTCTACTCTACTTCTATGCTCCCGTGTGTGTATTGTTCCCCGAGGGAGGGGCCCTAGTTAAAGCAGTTAATTCACAAAAAAGCTGCACATGTAACAAAAAAAACTCAACACCAAGGTGACTCTCTGGCCGCACATCTTAGGCGGCTGGCCATAAAAAATAACAAAAATAATAACCGCAGTTTATAACGCGCAACATATTTCGCAAATCGAACACAATGTTCGCGATGTTCGATTGAGAACTCGGGAGGCGCGCTGCTCCACTGTATGCCAGCAGACGTACGGCAGAATAACAACAGGCGGCAAACGTTTCAGGCAATAGCCCTACCTGTTACAGTGATCCAGAGATGGAAAGGCAGACGATCAAAACATTTGGAGACGGCACTTAACAACGTCATCAAGTGACTGAAACGCAAAAAATCGTTAAAAGGTTTCCCGCAATACAAAACACGCATTAACATAAATACATTTTAAAATACATACGTACAAAAAAAGAGCATTAAATAAAACCATTTGTACCGTGTTTACATGTTCGTGTAGTGCACTCTAAGGAGGTAAATTAGTTACTTATAATCCTTTGCAACTGCGATAAAAAATTCATCAAAACAACAGTAAATGTGCATGTGGACTTGATCTTTCCCAGTGTTCATTGCAAGGTCCAGGGGGCCACTGGTGGCTCCTGGTGGCCTTTAGTGTGGGCCCCTTACGTGCAGTCTCCGACAATATCAAATGTGAAAACAGCCCCTTACAGGCGGTATGGCGGCCCTCACACTTATTTATTATTGGCGACAGTGGGGGCACCCCCCCCCCCCTGAAAATTAGTGAAGAACACCGACCTATACTATCAGAAAGTGTGTGCGCGCATGGATCCAAATAGTGACGTGGACAGAAACGATTTTGCAGCAAGGGTAACGGTGCAACCAAAATTAAGCCAAAGCCATAAAGTTCCACATTCGAGATTTGAAGCTTTCGTGACTGCAAGGATTCATACTCTTAGGTTTTTTCGGTTAAGCCACGTAGGTAATAAATAAATAACATAGTAAATCACGACGTTTCAGAGACAACACAAGTCTCCGTCATCAGGAGACTTGTGTTGCCTCCGAAACGTCGTGATTTATTATTATTATTTATTTTTACCTACGTGACTTTACCGAAAAAACCTAAGAGTAATTTCCACGTTAGCCACTTCGTTGTGTGATAATTTGTGGAAAGGTGGCTTTTGGTAAGATAAAAAAAAAGTTTAGTTTCATCTGTATTTTGTTGTTTTTATATTGCTTGTCGTAAAGTTCTGACCCGCCCCAATGGACATCTGTGACATTGAGCTTTAAAGCTCACCAAATCCCTCCAGTATAAATAAACATTCAGAATCTGATGATGATGATGCTGCAAACTATGGAGGTCGGGTGTTTGACTCTGGAACAGCTTAAGGATCTGACGGAAGCGATGGCAATATTTGGTGGCACCGACCGTCATTGGCTGTGATGACCCCTTAGAATGACCTGCTCCGAATACAAGGGCACAGATCGGTGCACGTGTTTGAGAGCTGGATTCTTTTTTGCAGTGTTCACCAATGAGACGGATACATGTGAAAGCAGCACACGAGATGACTGGCGAGCTCTCCCGAGTCGACGATGCTTGTGACAAGGCATTAAGCCAGCAAACATTGCGGTCTTAAATTTCAAGCCCTGGACCCCGAACGTTTCCCTGGGGCCTAATTGCAGCTGTCAAAGTGACCTTAGCTGAAAGTCATAAATACACTGCTACACTTAAGAAATTTTGTTATGTGTACCACAGAAGCATAAAACATAAACCTAAACTGTCACAGGTGCCAACTCCGTGGCTTTACTTGGCAATTTTAAACACATTGAGAGATACGAGACTTGGACAGCTGGTTATTTTATAAGAATGCCGACACTACCCCTCTGCCTACTAACTCCAACACCTAGAAGCCCATCGTTTAAAAAAACATTGAGGTCTCAACTTGATGCCGAGCAGTCATTTCTATACAACTTCACTTGCACTTACACTCGACTTCATGTTGTTATCTGTGTACATATTAATACAATAGTCAGACTACATATGTTTAACGTGTCTTTGACGATTAAATCATCACAGTACCAATGTTTCTGTTACTTAAATGTAATTATTCTAACCATCAGTCTCAATATTCATATTCTTGGGTTTTTTCGGTAAAGTCACGTAGGTAAAAAATTAAAATTTATAAAAGTAAAATAAAAATCACGACGTTTCGGAGGCAACACAAGCCTCCGTCTTCAGGTGGAACCGTCACAGCCACGCTCGCTGTATCAATTAAATGAGAAATTCCAAGAGATCCGACCCCGTATATATACTGGTTGAGGGGGGAGGAGCCAGGGTAGGCCCCTGGATAGGAGTTTTTTTTATTATTATGGTAAGGTTGGTGCGGCTGAAGCTAAGGCTAGTCTACACAACAAAGGACTGAGCCTTTGTTATGTAGACTGGCTGAGAGGGTGGGGGGGGGGGGTGCCAGAGTTGTTAAAGTGCAGCTGCTGCTAATGGGACCGAGCCCCTGCCATGTACATGGTAAAAGCAAAAAAGCAGGTCAGGAAGAAACAGCCTCCTGCTATGTTACTTGGTGGGTAAAACTTAAAGCAGGAAACCAGCGTGTGAAAAAAGAAAAGCTAAACGTGATAAAACAAAACTGGCTGTCTATCAGTAAACTGTACAGTAACTAAAGAACAGTTGTCTGTCAAATAAGATACCGAAAAAACCCAAGAATATGAATCCTTGCAGTCACAAAAGCTTCAAATCTGGCATAAGTCTCAATATAACCTGCCAGAATAAACTTAAGCTGCAGGTAATTGTCTTATTTAACATTGATTTGGCTGTGCAAAATGTTCAGCGTCTCATATAATAGTTGTTTTTGCTCCGATTTCTATTTACATCATTGCTCTACTTTATTTTATTTTGCCATTTTAGTGACCCAGGTTCAACTATTGCAAATGAGACTATGCCGGTCTCTCCAGTTCTCACGTGGTTAAACAAATCGGTGTCATCCTACCTTCTCACCGAACCAGCCATCTACATATGTACCAAGCTAAATATCTAACCCACCTTACAAATCACCACCCTATCCACAGACTGATCTACCTATGTACCTACCTCGCTGCACACCCAACCTATATACCCCGAACGCTATTTAAACGTAAAGGTCACGGAGGCTACGTAACCGACGAGGGAGAAACCGCATATACACGTAAACATCAAACGCACAATACAAAAATACGCACCACTAAAAGGTGGCGATATCACAACACGCGTGCCAAGCTTGGCGACACAAAACACACACGCACGAGCAGACGCAAATAAAGCCGACGAAACACCACTTGCCATGCGCCACACCCCAGTGGTGGCGGTGCCACCACGGTGTTTGTGCTAAGATAGGTGACAAATCTTTTGCTGGCAGCTCATAGGTTAAAAAGCAGAGGTGTTGGGCCCAGTCGTACTTCGATACACGTCTGCTGCGGTGATCAAATAACATTGTGCCAGACCACCACCCCTGCCTGTATTCATAAAGTGGCTTCTGCAAGCTTCTCCTTGGCATACGAGCAAGACGTTGCAATAATTTAAACCAGGACCTTTCTTGGTACACCAAGAGAGATGCGCCCCCATTACCTCGTTTACAATAGGTGTGGTCCCCCCCCCCAACTATTTTAAGGGCAGACCCACCAGGGAATCTATCCCTTTCTGCAGAACCTGTCCTGTGTGGTCCAAACAGCAGTGATGATGTCACGTAAAAAAGGCAGCCTGCAATATAACTGGCAGTTTTTGCTGGGGAGGTCATCCCCTGCCCATCGCTTTACCCTGTCTCAAGATGTGGGGGTCGCATATTGCCCACCTTCTTTAACATGAGGGCCCACATCATCAGCCAACCACTCACACGTATGTGGGGGGGGGGGGGACTGCTTCTTCCCAATCTCTGAGGCTCCGCAAAACCCACAGTAAGCTCCCATCAAACCAAGCTACGCGTGTCTGGAAGAAACAGCTCTGCGCTCTCCCATGTTGCAGTGTTCGGGAGATGGGCTGCGTGTTGAACAATTCTCTTCTCAAGTTTCCACCTCAAGCTGCTGCTGTGGGCGGGCAACTTTCAGGAGTTGAATTCAATTCCTGACGCCAAAACCAGAAAACTGCACTCCCAAGATTATTCTAAGTGGATGCAACAAACGTACATGTTTAAACATTTCTCCTCCTCCTCCTCCTCCAAAACCTTTACAGAAACTCTCAAAAAACCTGTGCTCCCGCACCTCGAAATGTATGCAAACCTCATTACCGCTCTTATCCCTTTACAGTGACAACAGACGTCATGTTTTTGACGGAGGTAAAAAAAAAAAACACTTAATTGGCACCAACCGGCGATGTCGCCCCCAACCTACACGGTCGCCGTTCGGTCCAAGGCAGCCGCCACCGCCGCTGGTCAGTCTGCTAAAACCCACGGCTGCTGCTAATTCCGCTGCTGCTGCTGGCTCATGGCTGCCGTGGCCGTGCGTACGAGCGGGTCGCCATCACGCCTGCCCGTGCCCGTAGCTGTGCCCGTGACGGTCGCCGTCAAGGTCGTCGTCGTGCTGCCCGTGGTTGGTGCCGCGTCCGTAGCTGAGCAGCTGCTGCTGCTGCCCGTGGTTATGGTGACCATTGTCGTGCGCCTGCGCGCGTTCATGCTGTCCGTGGTTGCCGTGGTGGTGGTGGTGGTGCTGCTGCTGCGGAGCCGCGCCACCGCCGCCGCCGTGGTGGTGGTGCTGCGTTGCGTTGACGGCGGTGCCGGGCGGATCGAGCTGCACGCGCAACAGGGACAGCTCGTCCAGCTGGTGGCTGTGCCGCGCCGTCTTGTGCTTGACGAGCGAGTGGTAGAAGTGCACGGTGAAGCACACGAACAGCACCAGCACTGGCACCATCACCGCCGTGGACGCCCACGCCGCCTGGAGGCCCACCGGCAGGGACGGGGGTGGTGCCATCTGGAATGCACGGGGATTGAGGGGAACGCACGCACGGGGGACATCGGTGACGTGGCAAAGCGGTTGGCGCACTTTCCGCTTGTTGCACAAGTTTGCGATTTTAGCCCAGTGGCTGGCCTGGTTAATACCATGTGTGTGTATTATTCATGAACACTCGCCATCCGCTTCGCAGCGGACATTAACATCCTATGATGTTATGAGAAAAAGAGGAGGCCACGTGGGCCAAATTTGACAAATTCGAAATCTACTCACACATTCCCTAAACTCTACTGTCAATAATCCAGGTTCTAAAGTGTAATAAGTTGATGGTTTCAGCCCACACTATGAAACCTCCTTTACCAGTGGCAAAATATAGTAATAGGTTTTTACCCTTTAAACTGGTACAAAACTGACACCTTTATACAAGGCATCATTGGAGACTAGGCTCTAAGGAAAGCTGTCTCGGGTGTGGACCAATCAACTTCAAGGACAGTGCATATCATTACCATTATCAGAGTTGTTTCTTTTCGTTAGCATTTTGACTGCTTGTGTTGCGGTTATTGCAAACATGATGCCTTGTATAAAGGTGTCAGTTTTGTACCAGTTGAAAGGGTAAAAACCTACTACCAGTCAAGCGTGAATGAGAAAGAAAATACCATCGCGTTAGATTTGCTTCTCCACTTCGTGTGGCTAACGTATGGCGCTGAGAACTAAAGATATTAGTTAAGACTGTCAGGCAATGAACATTACTCTGAACAGCAAAGCGATTGTGAACGTACTGCCCCCTGTTGTGCGGACTAGAGGGATCTTAAGAGGTCGCCGCTGTGCTATCCGGTTCCGTGGGTGGGTCTCTAAACACTAAGGGGATTCACTGCCGTGTGAGATTTCAATGGAATTTTTTTTATCACGACTTGATATTGATGGCACAATCTGGATAAAGCTGGGATAATAAAAAACAGGTAATTTTACTTGGCATGGGGATACAGGGTCACAGCGACGTGGTGGCATTAATACACGAGGTACAGGATCACAAGGTTACAGGACACAGGGTCAGGGTGGCAACCAACACACGACATCACAATGGAAGCATTAAACTAGATGGGGGGGGGGGGGGAAACAGAGATGAACCTTCAAAAGTCAGCGTCGTGAATAATTAAAATTTTCTTTTTCAAACAGTGCAAATTATTAAACTTAAGAATTTCGAGTTGTAACGCATCACACAGTATCCTCTCGCTCTCGAAGACAGAGAACAATTCAGAGAGATGCGAGGCACCACAGACAAGTAGGAAAGGCAGCCACGTGGTGAGCCAGTGCCAAATTCCCCCCCCCCCAAAGGTCTGCGATCCTCTACATATAAGGGTGTTTTTTGGCTAATTAATTAGGATTTACATGTGGGAGGAGACCAGAGCATCCGGATAAAACCCACAGCATTCCATACCATATGGAACAGATTAAGATTAGTCCATGGTACCCCGGCTCTCGCATAATGTCCGTGATGCAGTCATTTTTCGTCTGTTGATGGTCGCGCGATGCGGCAATCGACTCATCTCGACGAGCTGTACACGATGCACCACCACGGTGCGTACGAGCGTTTAGGGTTTCAGCGCAATCGTCCTCGCTGCGTTTCGACATCGCGGAGTAGCACCGATGTCGGATTGATTGGTACCCCAGTCGCGGAGTTAAGTACACCCCTTTTGAAAAATAGTGTCCCAGAAATAAAACAAATTCCTGCGGAGGGAGCTGGTAGGAACGTTGGGTTGTTCGGTCAATGGCCAGGGTCAACGGCGGCGTGGTGTATTCCGCAAATATGGCATATGGCCGACTGCGAGGGCGGGCACAAGCCGGCGTGAGTAGGTTAAACGTTGAATTTTATAAGGGCACCACGGGGTGACCAGTCCCCTCCCCACCCAGCCCCACCTCCCCACCCAGCCCCACCTCCCCACCCAGCCCCACCCCCCCACCCAGCCCCTCCCCACCCAGCCCCTCCCCACCCAGCCCCTCACCACCCTCCCCACCCAGCCCCACCCTCCCCACCCAGCCCCTCCCTGCACGACGGACGGACACAATAATCCCCTGTGGGCTGGTGGAACCAGTGGGGTCCTACCAGTAATATTGAATTGCCTCGGCCATTTTGTATCAGGATCACTTGTTGGTGAGTGAGGGTATGACACCTTGACAACCATGGGAAAAGGAGTATCCCAACATTTGTGTGAACCACCAACCCTGGCCTCCACAGTATTGGATTACAGGCATGCTCAGCCATCACCGACCGAGCTAGATAACACATCGGCATGATCCCAGAAAACCAACAATTGTAACTCACAAATTAGGCAATATGTGATGTATTGTAAGGCCTAAGAACCAATTTTAGTTGCTTATTTGCAAGATAAGTAAAACCTTGGATTGCGAGCATAATACGTTCTGGAAACGTGTTTGTAATTCAAAGCACTCGGACATCAAAGCACTCGTATATCAGTTGTGATCATGTGACGCTCGGCTGACAAAGCGTATGCTCGTACTGCTCGCATTGAAAGACCTCGCTCGTTTATCAAATTAATATTTATTTTAAAAATGTTGCTCGTCTTGCAAAACACTCGCAGACCAAGTAACTCGCAATCCAAGGTTTTACTGTGTATACATTTAATGGCGTAAAAAATGTCAATCTTTTGTTCGTCATAATTAATTATTAGAAAAATGTCAGTTCATGGAGTGGCTGAAGGCTGACTCCTGACGACGCGTCAGTCCTGGGGGTTGTATGACCATACTTCACCATGCAGATTCGCCACACTGATGTGTGTGGGTTGGTGAAGGACTGCTTCAGATGTAACATGCCACTGTTGTGAGCCGTGGCCAGGAAAAAAAAAAAAACTCGCCAACAACAATGGCCCCCCAGTGTTCTCCCCCCATCCCCAAATGAAAGGCAAATATGATGTTACATTTAAGCTGATGAAAATACAAACCCGAATGATGGCTGCATGGTCACAATTCATTAAGCCACTTGGGGAGCAATGGATCGTGAGAGGCCTGCGACGTCGTACGATCTTGCGTCATTACCTCAGTTTGATTCAGGTCCCCTTGCACAACACTGCCCCCAGCCCCTCCCCTCGGCCCCGATAATGTAGACCCCACGGGGAGGAACTTGACCCAGCACAGCAACACCACCTCCGCTAAATGACAAGAAAACAACCCACGCGATCATCATCAATGCCATGTGAAGCGTGTAATCAAAGACAAATAATTATCCCAAATAATTATGCTTTGCCGTGCTTGTTGCTTACTTGTAGCCTCCACTCCCCCTACCCCACACTCTCTGTCTCTCCTCCCTGGCTCCTCCCCCCCCCCTTCTCTTGCCGATATGGCCTCTTGTTACAGCAGCCCTTTTGCCCACTTCAGCAATTGTTTCTTGCTGTGGTCGTCCCACCTGATGACGGACGCTTGTGTTGCGCCCGAAACGTCGTGATTTAATTCATTTTCACCTACGTGACTTTACCGAAAGAACCAAAAAGTATGGATCCCTGCAGTCACGAAAACTTCAAATCAAGATTGAATAATTATCCCGTTCAACCTAACACAGGTTGTCAGGGGTAAGTTCCGTCAACGAGTCAGCATGGCACATACGGGCCACAAGGTTGGTGCGGCCAACACCAGAGCTAGCCACCTTAATGTCTCTCCAGTGCTGATGTTCACACAACAAAGAAAAAGATTCCCTGTACAGCCTTAACAGAATTTTGAGGAAAGTGCTGTTAGAGAATACCGATGTAGGCCAGCACAGGATTCGAGGGTGGGAGTGGCCAGCACCACACCCGGCAGCCTTCACCTCCCCAGTCGCGATGTTTATACACCGCACCAGGTACTCATTTGAGGCTGAATCGACCTAGGGGAGGCCCAGGACCGGTTCAGATAATCATCACCACTGCGGAGACAAAGGCGGCCGGGGTGGTGGGGGCCACCCACACCCTGGTCTACAGTGCCAACCTTCATATGTGCCCGCTAACAGCACTTGCCCCAGCAATCTGTTAAGGACTATACGGGGGATGTGTGTATTCGTCTTTGAATGTTAATCAGAAAGAAAGTGTATGTGTGTGTGTGTGGCTGTGTTACCCAGGAGAGAATGGTGTGTGTGCGAGTGTATGGCTGTGTTAACCAAACATCAGTGTATGTGAGTGCGTGTGGATCGGTAGTGTAGTGCTTAGCGCACTCACTGCCCAATGAATCCGGTAATCCGAGTTCCATTCCCACTCACGGCCAAGATCGGTGATGAATATCTGAACTGGTCCTGGGCTTCCCTCTAGGTTGACTCAGCCTTAAATACGTACCTGGTGTGGTGTGTAATACATTTCCACTAGGGGAGGCTAAAGCGACCTCGTGTGCTATTCCGGTCTTAATAGGTGCTTGCTAACATCACTTGCCCCAACAACAGTTAATCCATACTCTTTGGTTCATTCGGTAAAGTCACGTAGGTATAAAATAAAATGAAATAAATCACGACGTTCCGGGCGCAACACAAGCGTCCGTCACCGGGTGGGACAACCACAGCAAGAAACAATTGCTGAAGTGGGCAAAAGGGCTGCTGTAACAAGAGGCTATATAGGTAAGAAGGGGGGGGAGGGGAGGAGCCAGGGAGGAGAGACAGAGAGGGGGGTGTGGGGTAGGGGGAGAGTAGTGCATCACACTGGAGAGATTAAGGAGCGAGCAAGGGGGGGGGGAGGAGGAAGTGAGCGGGGCTGCGAGTGGGAGGCTGAAGAACAGTCTATATGGGGGATCTTTGTCGTGTTTCGTTACCCAGGAACAGCTGTGCGGGTGCGGGCTGATGCGTGGCTGTGTTACCCAGGAAGAGCAGAGTGCCCAGTACTGTGGAGAAACCCCACGCCAGCTCGATGTACTTCTGCAGACGCTCGTGGGGAGACTCTGCGACTGCATTGAGGTTGTGGACATTGCTCACCGCCTGGGAACACAACAAATACATACACATACACACACACGTACAACACATGCACAATACACATACAACATAGACAGACTAAACATACAATACAATATATAGACAGACTATACATACAATACACACATGCACACATACATAGACAATACTAGACATACCGCATACACATAAAAGAAGTAATATTTTAAAAACTTTTTAAACACACGCTTTTATGAAATGTACTCGTAATGGCAAAACTCCACGACTCCAGGAAGTGGCCCCGAAGCTTGCCATAACGTAAGGGACCGTGGCCAATTACAGCCAACGTCAGTTCACCGTGGACAATTAGACCCAAGCCGAAACATAACATGTATAAAATAATGTTTAAAAATATAGATTATTTTTTTATGATAGAATATAGTATTGTCATAAGTATGACATAAGTATACCAAGTTTACAGTCGATACCACATTGGGAAGTGGGTTAAAATTGAGTTACAAGATTTGAGGATACAACAACGACAACAACAACAACAGACAGAGTGAGTTAAAAGAAAGCGTGTAAAATACACATACAACAGACAAAAGATACATACAACACAGAATACACACATGCACAGCACACACACGCACAATACTAGACATACACAGAAAAACAAAACACATAAAACACATATTAAGCACAAACAGTATGTATAACACACACATTACTCACCGCCTAAGAACACAACACACATACGCAGCACACACGAGACATATACATAGAATATACACATAACATACACGTTATACACACAAAACACACTCCATACATACAACATAAACAACATAACGCAATAAAAATGCACACACATTACACAGCCAACATATACAACAACATATTACACGTACAATATTCACACAAAACAGAACACACAACGCACGCATTAATCCTGGGAAGTCAACACACGCACAACACACACATATGCACGGTATATTTTCTCAAAACTCATGATGGATGGAGCGGAACACCGCAGATGATCATAATATCAACAAACTTTCCCTCTGTTTCTCCATGAGGCCCTGTCATGCTCTTGCCTAATAACATCGACAACAACTCAGCATTATTTATCGACCAAGCCTCGCAGCTGATGAAACCCAGCATGTCGAAGCTGATCTCACGTTTTTTGTTTTAACAAATGCTGCTGGAAAACGCACATCTGGACGAAAACACACATTTCATGTTGACGTGCAGCAACAGCCATAATAGAGGTCTTCATTCTGCACTCATTACTCCTGGGAAGTCAACACACACACACAACACACATATGCACGGCATATTTATTTTTACTCATTATGGGTGGAGTGTAACGCTACAGATGATAATATCAACAGATTTTCCCTCCGTCTCTCCACGAGGCCCTGTCATAAAGGTAGAGACTGCTCTTGCCAATAACATCTACAATAACTCAGGCATTATTTATCGACCAAGCCTCACTGCTGATGATACCCAGGAGGTCGACGCTGATCTCGTGTTTTTGTTTGAACAAATGTACGTTTTCCAGCAGCATCTGGACTAAAACACACAATTCATGTTAACGTACAGAAACAGCCAAAATAGGCCTGTTAATTTAGCGTGCAATACAACACAAACCACAATAAGCACACCGCAGGGTTTTTACAGGATTCTGTGAATCTGATTCTGGATGAAGCAGTCATGGTAGTTGTTTAACCAAACTTCACCATGCTGGTCGGTGCAGGCTGGTGAAGGGTGGGGGTTGCCTAGGACTGTTCCAGATATCACTCGCCACTGATGTTAGCCGTACTCAGCAATCCGGCTCGGGTCACAGTGCGCCACCCAATGCACCACCATATTAACACCGCCTAATAACCAAAACACAAACAAAACAGTCGCTAACGTTTCAGGCTATGAATGTTCTTCTAGGCCTATTTGCACCAAGGAGCTGCAGCCAGGAGGTCAAATGAATGTTTTAATTAAATAGAGCGTAAATGGTGCATTCAATTAACACTGCTTTTGATACTTAAGTTGCTACAAGTTGCCAGAATTCGTACAATATCACAATATTGCAGCTTTCATTCTTCAATGCACTTAACTGCTTTTCAAATAACACTAAAAAGTTGAGCACCAGTGAGCTACTATTCGAATGTACAGTTGAGCAAGAGGAGGCGCCATCAATGATCACACGATACATCTGAAAATTAGACAAAAAAATTCGGCAAAGAATATAATTCCTATTAACCCTTTTCCGTTCCGAAACATCTGCAGGTTGGGTCCTGTTCACCGCTGAATCTCGGAACGCGCAAGTGGTCAGTGTTCATTTTATTTAGAGACGCATAGCACTTTTTTTTAAACATTGTACTCACCGCAGAGAGCCGTAGCCACACGATCGCACTCTACGAAAGCTGGCGCCAAAATGTGCCACACACCCTTTCTGCATGGCCTTGTAGGAAGCCTCGGTTTACATAAAGTTATTTTAGTTTTTCTTCCGGTTCCGTTCCAATGACGTCCACATGGACGACGATTTACAGACTGTACGTCGGCGGATGAGAAAAAGGCAGTTATGTTTCGATGTAAAGCTTTCGTGACTGCAGGGATTCATCTTCTTGGTTCTTTCGGTAAAGTCACATAGAATTGAAATAATAAAATAATAAAAATAAAACATAATAAAATAATTCTCACGACTATTTAAGCTGCTTAAATAGTCGCTCCAAGCCTGGGGCTTGTCATTCAGACTCTGTCTCCTCGACAGACCTGTTCTCCACCTGAGGACGGCTACTTGCGTTGTGGCCGAAAGGTCGTGAGAATCATTTTATTATGTTTTATTTTTATTATTTTATTATTTCAATTCTACGTGACTTTACCGAAATAACCAAGAAGAAGGGAGTTATGGACAAAGAACTCACCTCCACATTGGGCAGAATGCAGGTGCTGACCATGAGCGCGAAGAGGTGCACAGCGACCAGCACGGTAGTGCACACGGAGAAAGAGACGAGCAGTGCGGGGGGGTAAGTATATCGTGCATCCAGCTGTGCCTCCACCATCGCCACCTGGGCTCAGCACGCACGCACACACACACACGTCCAACAGTGGAACTCATTAACAGTGCAACTTAAGGGTGGGAACTCATGCCACAGCATACATCAGTGGTGGATCGACGTTGAGAGGACCACTCCAATATTGGTATTTCATTGATATTTACCAGAGAAAATACATTTAATATTGTTTATTATTACCGTAGGACTCTATTTTAAAAAGCTTGGGAATTTCAGAACCGCTCCCCTTGGGAGGTATCCAGATCCGCCTCTAGGCAGACACATCCAAAAGTAGAACGGGCACAACAATGCAGCCCATTTAACACCACAAGCATGTGGTATCGCACAAGGCAGTGTAATACTATACGACTACAATGTACAGTACCACGGCGCCTAACATCCCTACAGCTACATGTGTTAAAATAAGTAATATTAAACAAAAACTTTCTTAAAAACACGCTTTAATGAAATGTACCGTACTAGTAATGGAAGAACTCCACGACTCCAGGAAGTGGCCCCAAAGCTTGCCATAACGTAAGGGGCCGCGGCGATTGACAGCCAACGTCAGTTGAGCGTGGACAATTAGACCCAAGCCGAAACATAACATATAAAAAATAATGTTTTAAAATGTTTTTTTTTCATGATAGAATATAGTATTGTCATCAGTGTGACATAAGTATACCAAGTTTCGATTTAAGGCTTTCGTGACTGCAGGGATTCATCTTCTTGGTTCTTTCGGTAAAGTCACGTATACCAAGTTTGCAGTCGATACCACATTGGGAAGTGGGTTAAAAATTGAGTTACAATATTTGAGGATACAACAACAACAGTGAGTTCAATCAAAGCGTGCAATAATAATAACATGGGTAGGTGTGGCGCGCCTCGCCACGTCAACCTCCCCTCGCCATCGGCATTATAAACTACAACGTCCGCGGTTCGCTACCAAGTGGCGGTGATGTCACCGGGGCGCTTGTGCCAGGCTAAGTGCACCTTCAGGACACGTGAAGTGTCGAAGGGCTCGCAGACAGGTCACAGGTCAGATCCAGGTTTCAAAGGTTTAATAAGGAGATGGCGTGTTCACCACCATCACATCCACCACATCCAGACAAGTACAACAACAACCTCCATTCGCCACTGAGTGACAGTGACGTCACCACGGCGCTTGTGCCAGGCTACGTGCACGTGAAGGGTCGAAGGCCAGGTCACAGGACAGATCTCGGTGCCATGGGTTGACTAGAGATGACTGGCAGATGCATAATCTGTGCTCCCCACTGTGCCAACATGCTGCGCTTTATCCGCCCAGCGCTCGGCTCATTGTTGTGAGCGTCGCTCCTCTGCCCTCCCGCTATTGCTGGGGGACGACTGCCTCCCAAATTGCTCAGCAGCGTCCTTCACGAGCCTCCTCCAGAGAGAGGCCGATCTTGATACCAATCTTCGGCAAGTCCACTCAGCTCCCCATCCTCCCGTACCAAGTCCATCTCTTCTCCAGCCACCCCCTTCTCTCTATCCGGCCAAACAGAAGCTGCCTGGGCAATACGGTGGCTGGGGCATGCGGGCTACATGACCCAGTCACCAACAAATACAAATATCGCCCCGTATGGCCTTGATCAGACTGTTGGGTCAAAGTGCAGCACCTATGAAAGCTGGCACGGCACACGAGGGGGTGGGTGGGTGGCCAGCACCACGCCCGGCCGCCTTTGTCTCTCCCAGTGGAGATGTTTTTTTTACACACAGCACCAGGTACTCATTTCAGGCTGAGTCGACTTCGGGGAGGCCCAGGACCGGTTCAGATAACCGTGAGAGGCGAATACGAACCCGGGGAATCGCAGGGCGCGTAGCGTAGCGCGCTAACCGCACCACCACCGCTCCCCAGCCACCACCATCACAACCACCACCACCACCACCACCACCACAACCACAACAACCACCAACGCTCCCCAGCCACAACCACCACAACCAGCATCACCACCACAACAACCACCACTACAACCACCACCACCGCCACCACAACAACCATCACCACAACAACCACCAGCACCACCACCACAACAACCACCACTACAACCACCACCACCGCCACCACAACAACCATCACCACAACAACCACCAGCACCACCACCACAACAACCACCACTACAACCACCACCAAAACCACCACCATCGCCACCACCACAACAACAACAACAACACGAACCCTAGTCCCGTAACCACCACCACCACAACCACCACCCCAACAACACGAACCCTAGTCCCGTAACCACCACAACCACCACCACAACACCAACACGCACCCTTGTCCCGTAACCACCCCCACCACCCCCCCACCACCACCACCCGTGCCTCACCATGGCGAAGCCGGAGAGAAGCGCCGAGGTGCGGGACGAGGCCTTGAGCTTGGCGCGGCTCAGGTAGAGACGGCGCCACGACAGCGCGGCGAGGTTCGCCTCACCGCGACGCAGCCACGGAGCCTCGGGCCCCGCGCGGGACAGCGCCGCCGCCGCCGCAGCAGCCTCCTCCGCCGTCTCCATCGCCGCGGCGGGCGGGCTTCAGGGCGACGACGACGACGAGGAGAGGAGGAGGAGGAGAGGGAGGACTAACCTCCCACCTCTGGCGGCCATGCCCGGCCGTGACGTCAGCGGGCGGTGACGTCACTTGGTGTAGCCCCAGACGGTGACGTCACTTGTTGTAACACGAGGCGGTGACGTCACTTGTTGTAAGCCGAGGCGGTGCCGTCACTTGTTGTAAGCCGAGGCGGTGACGTCACTTGTTGTAACCGAGAGGCGATGACGTCGCTTGTTGTAAGCCGAGGCGGTGACGTCACTTGTTGTAACCGAGAGGCGATGACGTCGCTTGTTGTAAGCCGAGGCGGTGACGTCACTTGTTGTAACCGAGAGGCGATGACGTCGCTTGTTGTAACCCCAGGCGGTGACGTCACTTGTTGTAACCGAGAGGCGATGACGTCGCTTGTTGTAACCCCAGGCGGTGCCGTCACTTGTTGTAAGCCGAGGCGGTGACGTCACTTGTTGTAACCGAGAGGCGGTGACGTCGCTTGTTGTAACCGAGAGGCGGTGACGTCACTTGTTGTAACCCGAAGCGGTGACGTCACTTGTTGTAAGCCGAGGCGGTGACGTCACTTGTTGTAAGCCGAGGCGGTGACGTCACTTGTTGAAACCCGAGGCGATGACGTCACTTGTTGTAACCGAGAGGCGATGACGTCACTTGCTGTAACCCGAGAGGCGATGACGTCGTTCGCGTGTGGTCGAACCGCTCATGTCGGTGACGTGTTGCAGGCGTTGAACAACGGGACGCGTATTACTGGTAGGAACCCACTGTGTGGTTCCACCAGCCCCACAGGGGATTGTTGTGTCCGTCCGTCGTGCAGGGAGGGGCTGGGTGGGGAGGGGCTGGGTGGGGTGGGAGGGGTGGGGCTGGGTGGGGAGGGTCGGGCTGGGTGGGGGGAGGGAGGGGTGGGGCTGGGTGGGGGGTGGGAGGGGTGGGGCTGGGTGGGGAGGGGCTGGGTGGGGAGGGTGGGAGGGGAGGGGCTGGGTGGGGAGGGTGGGGGGTGGGAGGGGTGGGGCTGGGTGGGGAGGGGCTGGGTGGGGATGGGGCTGGGTGGGGGGTGGGAGGGGTGGGGCTGGGTGGGGGGTGGGGCTGGGTGGGGAGGGGAGGGGTGGGGCTGGGTGGGGAGGGGCTGGTCACCCCGTGGTGCCCTTATAAAACTCAACGTTTAACCTACTCACGCCAGCTTGTGCCCGCCCTCAGTCGACAATATTTGCGGAATACACCACGCCGCCGTTGACCCTGGCCATTGACCGAGCAACCCAACGTTCCTACCAGCTCCCTCCGCAGGAATGTTTTCCAGTCGATTAGCACGGTTGGCTACGTACGGTGCGAAGGAAGTCCGCCTGGTATGCAGGAGGTCGTGGGTTCGATCTCGGCCCTGACGATGACCTTCTGTATATTTGGAGTTTGTGGTGTCTCCCTCTCCCCGTGGTTGCGTGGATTTTTCTCCGGGTCGTCAGATTATCCCTCCACATTTATAAACGTGCGTTTAAGAGTATCAGGCTGCTATGAATTTCCTCACAAGCCACTGCGTTGAGCCATCATTTGTGGCCAGGTGGCTTGTGAAAATGAGCTATACATCTCAGTGGACCTTACCTCGTAAAATAAAAAAAGTTTTAAAAGTTGAATTTCATTTCATTCCTTGCACCAGAACCCATACCAACCACACTACTATGCCAACCCACAGCCTGCCCCAGGGATTGAACCTAGGGGATCTAACTAGGTTCTGACTCAGCGTACTTACATGGCCATTATGAACCCCCTGTGAGAGAGACCATGTCCACGGTTTAAATTCACCCCACTTAGGGGGCATTAAGAAAAACACACTGAAACAAGAGTTGGCGTGTAGATGAAATGTGGCACTTTAATTTAAATTTTCACGTCGGAATGTGTAAAGGCGACATTTCACAGATGCATCACTCGCCAAAATCCATCTGTGCAGATGTTGCAGCTGCCTGCTGAGGTGATGTATTTGCGATGGTCGCGTTTGTGGGAGGTGGTGATGTTTACGATTGCGTAGCGGTTTGGTGGTGGCGTTGGTGACGATGTTTGTGGTAGTGGTGGTATTTGTAATGGCGTGATATAGTTGAAGGTAGTGGTGATTTAGGTGATGGTGCTGGCGATGCAAATAACGGTGGTAAAGACGCAGATGCCAGTAGTGTTGGTGATGCTGCTTCTCGTCCTGCTGTTAATATTGATAGAACTACTCGTATCACGTACGTAGTAATAGTATTCATGGCTCTCACGTATGTCCAAGTATTAAATGAGTGGCAGTCGTAGTAGTACTCGTTGTATGATGCGAGTCGTAGTGGATGTATTCCATGTGCAGTTGTACTGGTTGTTCTTGGGTCATGTCTTATTTTATCACACTAAATTATCATTGTGTTGTCTAATTGTATCTATTAGTCGTGTTTGTGTTGCGTTGGTTCTGGTGGTGGTAGTAGTGCTGTGTTAGTAGTAGCAGCAATGCTGTGTTAGTACGAGTAGTAGTATTTGCGTTGTGGTCAATGAGTAGCAGTGAGTTAGTAGCAGTGAATTAGTAGCAGTGGTGATGGTGCAGGAGGTGGTAGTGCTGGGAGTGGAGAGGCCACGTCATGCCTTCTTGTACTCGATTCTCTCCACTTTGACGTCATCTCCCAACAGCTGATAAACATACGTGACCACGGTGGACGCCTGAATGTCCATGAGCACGAACGATGGCACCACATTACTGCGGAGACGTGGAGATAAACGCGCGATCGTTAAAAATCACACATTACTGGGGACAGAGAGCGAGATGCACACAGACAAGCCCGTGCGTTAGCAGCAAGGACAAACAAAGACACGTGGAAATCCGGGGCGATATACGCTACTGCCAGATGCACTTCACCAGGGGAAACGCGAATAGCGCGTTCCCATGGACACTTTGTAATAGGCTCGGCCTAGATTTGGCAGCCCCTACCAGGGTATCCTGCATCTCCTCCATATCTCCTAATATAACTCCATGGCCCGTCTCTTGTCCCCATGTATTAGCCTGGTTGGCTACGTACGGTACGAAAGAAGTTCAACATACATACATGTATGTCCACCATCACCCATGTCTCCCCTTTTCTCCATGTTTCTCCCATGTCTCCCAATATGTACCCCATCACCCAAATCTCATGTTTCCCCATGTGTCCCCATGTCTCTCCATGTTTCTCCATGTTTCTCCACGTCCGACCCCCATGTCTCCCGTCACTTGTGTCTCGCATTCCTCCATTTCTCTCCCCATGTCGCCCACCGTGTGCCCCCAATTATGGCACACCTGTCCAGCGGGCTGTACGCTCCCGTGGCCGAGCCGGGGTTGATGTAGAACCTCCCCTCGCTCTCAAACGCCTCGAAACGGTGCGTGTGTCCCGTGATGATGATGTCAGCAGCCAGCTCCCTCTGTTGCCAAGCCACGCACAGGCACAGAGACACACATACACACGTGGCCACACACAGACACACAAATACACAGGAAAACACACGCAGACCCATACAGAGAGACAAAGACCCCCTGTATAGCCTCGAAGGACTTTTGGGACAAGTGCCGTTAGTGAGCACCTATGAAGGCTGGCACTGCACACAAGGAGGTGGGGGGGTTACCAGCACCATACCCAGTAGGATCGACTCAGCCTCATTTGAGGCTAAGTCGATCTTGTAGAGGTCAACAACAAAAAAGTATTTTTTTCTGGCCTGGACTTTTATCTGGCAACAAAATTGACGCCTTTTGGCGTCATCTGGTCCAACCCATGTGAGACTAGGCTCTAAGTAAAGCTGTCTCGGGTGTGGACCAATCAACTTCAAGGTCAGTGCATACATTATCAGAGTTATGTTTTTTGTTTGCATTATGACTGCAGGTATTGTGGTCTATGCAAACATGACTCCTCGTAAAAAAGGTGTCAGTTTTGTTGCCAGATAAAAGGGTAAAAAACCAATTATCGAAACTCACTCTTAAGTGGAGCCACTTCAGTGGCTTGACGGGGCTATTACACTGGTCAACAAAAAAAAACAATTTCTAGCCTGGACTTTTGCAGCTGTTTTAGACTAATTTCAGGGTGCTGATTCCAAATCTGATCTGATTTGCTCTATCACATCTCTTTTTTATGCTATCGGCATACCCCATTTTCATTGATTTTACCCGAAATTAACTCTGTCACTTATGATTGCAAGTTGTGAGTCAGTGACTGCTTTAGTGTTAAAATATGGTGCTGTATTTTTAGGATAGTGTGTTTATAATATAATTTTATGTAGATATCCACATTTATTTACAATTTTTCTTCTGCAGTTTTTATTGAAAATGCAATATTTGATATCTCAAAAACCTGATGTGATAGACAAAAACTGATGCCAGATTTGGAATCAGGACCCCAAAATTACATTAAAACCGTTGGAATACCTCATGCCAGAAAAAGTGTTGACCAGTGTAATCATCCCTGGTATTGGCCATGAGCGGGATTCGAAGGTCACACTAACCACGATGCTATTGCTCCCCACGTGTATGTCTATACATCTGTGTACATGCATGTATACATCTGTGTACATGCATGTACGTGCAAGTGTATGTTAGTATGCACTTACATGTATGCCTTTGAGGGTGCGTGTGCAACGGTTACCACGCTGCACTACAAACCCAGCAACCCGAGTTAGATTCCTGCTCACGGCCAATACCAGTGACGATTATCTGAACCGGTCCCAGGCCTCCCCTAGCTCGACTGAGCCTCAAATGAGTCCCTGGTGCGACATCGTGCTGGTCACCCACCCCCTCGTGTGCCATGCCTGCCTTCATAGGTGCTCGTTAACAGCACTTGTCCCAACAGTCCGTTACGGCTACATAGGGAATCTTTGTCTGTGTGTATGTGCAGGCACCTGTAGCAGGGCCAGTGCTGCTGCATCTCCCCATGGCACAAGCTGGTGTCCGTGAGAGAGGCCGATGCGGAACTGCCCAACCGTCACCACCTTCTGCTCTGGCCACGACCCCACCTACACGAGAAAACGCACGGGGACACACACAAAGAAATGTGGACATTAAGCAGATACACGGGGACATGAAATAAAAACTTCGATTTAAAGCTTTTGTGACTGCAGGGATTCATCTTCTTGGTTCTTTCGGTAAAGTCACGTAGAAGGGAAATAATAAAATAATAAAAATAAAACATAATAAAATAATTCTCACGACGTTTCGGCCACAAATTATTTTGTCAAGGCGCTCTTCCCTCTCCAACCCAGCTTAAATATACGCTTCCAAGCTTGGTGGTGTTCATTCAGACGCTGTCTTTCCGACAGACCTGTTCTTCACCTGAGGACGGCTGCTTGCGTTGTGGCCGAAACGTCGTGAGAATTATTATGTTTTATTTTTATTATTTTGTTATTTCCCTTCTACGTGACTTTACCGAAAGAACCAAGATGAATTAAAAACTTGATTTGGAGTTTTTTCGTGACTGCAGGAATTACTCTTTGGCTCTTTCGGTAAAGTCACGTAATTTATTGTCTTTCGACATGAATTTAGATGCATGGACAAGCGGGGGCCACATGGGGGTATGCACAGACACGTGGAGAAACACAGGGACACAAGAGATCCACAGAGTTACACGAAGGATATGTGGAAACAGAAGGAAGCAAGGTGACACAGGGAGACATGCACAGACAATGAGACATGCACCAGGACACAAGTAAATATACACAGGGAAACACACAAAGACAAACAGGGACAGATATAGGCACAAACGGGAAGATAAGGCATAAGAGAGACATGTAAGGATACGACCAATGTCTTCCTGTGTCCGTGTCCTCAATGCTCTTATCTCTGTGCCTCTGTGTACCAGTGTGTCTGTGCCCCAATGTCACCGTGCCCCTGTATACCTGTGCCCCAATATCCTCAGCTACTCTGGTCTTTGTGTCCCTCCCATGTTCTCATTCACCCCATTCTGTGTACTTGTCAGAGGCGTAGCTAGGATATTTTGCGCCTGGGGACAAACTATAAAATTGGCGCCCCCCCCCCGTTTAATCACATTTTCCTATTACATCGAATAAGGAATAACAATTAAATTTTAATGAAACATTGTATTTAAAGAAGCAAATTTATAGAAATTATATTACATGGCTCACTCAGTCACTGTCGTAGACTGGTTGACATAGTCTACAAAAGATACATTTTTCTTGATTTCACTGTCGCAAACTGGTCAATCACGTAATCAAAATCATTTTTTTCCAATGTTTCTCTTTCAACGCTAAGAAGAGCAAGATAGCTGAGACGATCTTGTCCCATTGAAGTTTTAGGTTGAGGCGTAGATTTGTGCGGTAGTTTCAGGCTGCCGCGCCCGCCGCAATAAGTTATAATGTAACGTTGTAAGCCTCATTTTGGCGCCCCTTTACCTTGGCGCCCGGGGACATATGTACCCTCCTGCCCCCCCCCCCCCTAGCTACGCCTCTGGTACTTGTGCCCTCAAGCACCAAACTCTTAATTCACACGTGTGAATTGTGGGACACAGTCTCTCGTGTCTCACATCCCCAGTGTGTTTCCATGTCTGCCAGCCCGTCTGTCACCTGGTCGAGGTCTCCCCGCACCACGTGCACATCAGCGGCGAGAGTCTTCAGGTAGTCGAGCGACTCCTTGCTGCACAGGTTCCCCGTGCACAGGATGTGCTGGATTTTGCCGGGACCAGCAGCTTCTTGAACTTGGCCGGCAGAGCCGAGCTGCGGTGTGGGATGTGGAGATCTCCGAGCACCAACACCAACTGTGAACGTCGACAGCGTCATTTTCATTTCAGTCTTTCTCCCTTCACCCCCCCCCCCCCAAGTTTTATTCCCAATGACGCTTTCATTGTCACATCAAGAGATGAGTTATCCATCCGGTATCTCTAGCGGGGTCAGCGCAATACTCAAGAAGACGTCAAGTGATAATGGTAATTTCAACTCGTAATGTGCCACACACTCGTCGCTCACTCATGTCAAAAGATAGAACGAGGGTAATGCTCCATTGGAACCTCATTTGCCAGTAAAAAATATAATTGTTTTTTTACCCTTCTATCTGGCAACAAAACTGACACTTTTTTTTACAAGGAGTCATGTTTGCATAGACCACAATAACTGCAGTCGTAATGCAAACTTTGAGTTGTGCGCCTTTTGGCGTCATCTGGTCCAACACCATGTGAGACTAGGCTCTAAGGAAAGCTGTCTCGGGTGTGGACCAATCAATTTCAAGGACAGTGCATACATTATCAGAGTTATGTTTTTTTTTTGCATTATGACTGCAGGTATTGTGATCTATGCAAACATGACTCCTTGTAAAAAAAGGTGTCAGTTTTGTTGCCAGATAGAAGGGTAAAAAACCAATTATCGAGGGCAATGCTCGTCAATTAAAAAATATATATATTTTACCAGGTTAGGCCCACTGAGCTATACATATATAGCTCGTTTTAATAAGCGACCTGGCCACGAATAATGGCTCAACGAAGTGGCTCATCACGTGGAAATGTATAGCAAGTTTAGCAACCAAACACATTCTAAATGGAGGGAAAAACCCACGCGACCACGGGGAGAGAGACGCCACAAATTCCAAATATACAGCAGCAGGCGTCAGGGTCGGGATGGAACCCATGACCTCATGTGTACCAGGCGAGGGAGTTAACATCTCCTAGCCACCTTGGTGCTCACACCGGTGTGTGCAATTCTCCAGAGCTCACAGGTTCACATAAATCCTCCACTGGTGTTAACCATGAGCAGCAATTGAACTCGGGTGGCCGGCTTCTTAGCGCAGTGCGCTAACCACTGCGCCACCGCTCCCCACACACTGGTCACATGGCTCAACTCGTGACCCAACACACATCACCAGTAACCATCGTTAACATCATCGCCGTCACCGTAAACACCATCAGTACTTCCATCAACACCAACCACCATCACTTCGATCATCATCACCACCATCATCATCATCAAGAATGTCATCAGTCACCAACGTTAACATCACCACCAACATCATCATCAGCATCATAAACATCACTTCCACTATCATTTCTTCCATCACCACCATCATCAAAATCGTCACTCCCAGACGCGAGGGGATGTCTCGGCAATCACAGTTTTTTAGTCATCACCACAATCACCATCACCACCATCACCAACCATCATCATCATCACCACCACCACCACGATCACGAGACCCTTAACCCCATCAGCCCATAGCCCTCCCCTTAACGTTGCGTCTACCTCTACCCCAACAGGGCCGGTCCAGCGAAAGCCTCACCCCACGCCACCGCCCGCCAACCCAACAAACACCCGGCACTCCGGAGAGCCCCATGGGTCCCCTGTGGCCCCCCTCAATACCCCCAGAGCCCCCCAAAAATGTCACCATCGCGACGGCGGAAGAAGGAGCGGCAGGAGACGTCGGTGGCAGCAACGATGCGGGCGATTGGGCGAGACGGCAAGGGGCGGGGCCGGCTGGGGGTGGGCGGAGCCTGTGCGGGATGGGCGTGGTCAGCGCAGGCTCCGCCCACCTAGTGCAAATACATCTATTTGCACTAGGTGGGCGTGGCTTGCCTAGGGTGGGCGTGGTCAGCGCAGGCCCCGCCCACACAGTGCAAATACATCTATTTGTACTAGGTGGGCGGGGCCTGTCTAGGGTGGGCGTGGTCAGCGCAGGCTCCGCCCACATAGTGCAAATACATGTTAGCACTAAGTGGGCGGGGCTTGTCTAGGGTGGGCGGGGCTTGTCAAGGGTGGGCGGGGCTTGTCTAGGGTGGGCGTGGCTTGTCTAGGGTGGGCGTGGCTTGTCTATGGTGGGCGTGGCTTGTCTATGGTGGGCGTGGCTTGTGTAGGGTGGGCGGGGCTTGTCCGGAGAAGTGGGGGGGGGCAGTGTCAATGGCGTGCAGTTTACAACAACAACAAAAACACATTCGTTAAGCTCATAATAGAGTTTATTTTTTCAGTTTCATTTATCTCCATATATATAAAAAGCAAAGTTGTGAATATGTGTGTATGTTCAAAATGTTAAGCATACTTCCCGACATGCATCAAACTGCAAATTTGCCATGTGGGTACTTTCCAGACTGTACACCATGCAGACATTATAAAAATACACTTATTTTTCCATAATTTGCAATGTAAACTAGTGAATTGGACATTGCCATTAATTCACTAGTTGTATGCAGCTGGCCACAGCTCTTTCTTAAAGGGGTGGATGTGGCTAATAGAGGTTCATAATGGCCATGTCAGGGTTCAAATTTGAAAAAATAACCGCAAATTACTCAACTAGGATCTACACAGCAATCATCGCCTCCGACTGCGAAAACTTGGCAGGACCCTCCTTCGTGACTGCAGGGATTCATCTTCTTGGTTCTTTCGGTAAAGTCACGTAGAATAGAAATAATGAAAATAAATACAAATAATAAAACATACTTTTATTACGTTATATTTTTATTATTTTATTATTTCCATTCTACGTTACTTTTTCCTGTCCCCTACATTGAAACGCACCCTAAAAGGAAATATATTTTAGGACGTGCCAACCATCATCCAAAACGCAACTCGGGGACCTGAAAGCCATCCTGAGATAAGAGTACCAGAGATGCCTCGACAAATGGCAGGACCACTGGAATTACTGCGTTCGATCAGACTACTTTGAAGGAGATTCCAAAGAACACAGGATGAGATGTTACTATCCTTTGTGCAAGCACTTCCAAGAGTTCATGAACAGTGAGCCTGGTGAAATTTGGGGAGCGCATCGTCAGTAGTGACCCTTTGGTTCCTAGGGTGTTTCGGCCTTTAATACTATACACCCTCCCCAAAGGCGGCCAGCGACAGGGTGATCAATCCTACGCTTGCGTCCCATTCCCAATTAGTCATAGGAGTTGCCTTGTTGTTGGTAGCCAACATCCCATACAATAGATTAGGCATTGTCTGAATAAAATAGTAACCGGTATTTTTTTTTATCACGTAGGGATTTTGAACTTCTTTTGCGCCGTACGTAACCACCTGTGCTAATCGACTGGAAAGTAGCAGTGTGTATGTGAACCTGGGGCAGCTGCCAGCTACGGCTGCAAGTTTTGTCGTACATGTTATGTATATCGTTTATTGTTAAATTTGAATCACACTTCCTATGATTACTGTTGCTACATTGTTTTCATAGCTTTATTTTGGTGATTCGAAAAGATGTGGTTAATCTAAATTGTCTCATGGTTTTTGTTGTTGACTTGCACCACATTGGGACTTTTGCACACAGCGTTTTAACACGTTTTTTTGGGGAATATTTGCTGGTTTATTCCAGGATGTTTCTGTTACACGTCGTCGCTTTAAGATGTTCTATTCATATTTTGTTTGTTGCGGTTGCACCCGACTTAAGAGCCGCATGGCTCACAGAGCTATACCAAATAAATGAAACTTGAAACAGTTGAAAGCAGACTTCAGTTAAACCATAGTACGCATACTACTGGCTTTACAATTGTGCAGAGCTAAGGTGTCCCATTGTTTAACTACTGTACAGTAAAACCTTTGCGAGCATAATTCGTTCCGGAAACGTGTTTGTAATCCAAAGCACTTGTACATCAGTTGTGATCACGTGACGCTCGGCAGACAAAGCGTATGCACGTACTGCTCGTATTGCAAGACCTCGCTCGTTTATCAAATTAATATTTATTTTAAAAAATTGCTCGTCTTGCAAAACACTCGCAGACCAAGTTACTCGCAATCCAATATTTTACTGGACTTGTAATTTGTGCTAAACACGAAAAGTAAAGAAATTAATTAAATCAAAATAGGATCCGATTTACAACGGGTTTCCAGGAATGCATTGTCGTAAAAGCGGGAACGGCCTGTATTTACTCCAAAAATCTCTTCAAGTGACCTCTAATCCACATCAGGGGGCAGCACTTTCCCATCGGCTTCATGTACAGAGAAAAATATTCGCCACGTGACAATCAATATTTTTATTTCTCGAAGCCAGAAAATTGGCAAAAGAAGTGATGAAGCAAAATGATCATAATGGCTTTTTATGTAAGTCACAGGAAGCTCAGGTGTGAGAACACCCAGGACCCATGTGGTGTTCCTCAACACCCTTGCCCTCCATTTAATTATCAAATTGTCAACCAGGATATCTTCAGGCATAGACTGCAATGATTTTTAAACTTCTAAACTCTAACTTAAAAAAAACAAAGAAAGGTTTGGTCAGGAACATATCTTTCATTGCATTTTCATTTCAGTCTAAGTTTCAGACTTGGTGAATTGTATTCTTTATCAAATGATATTCGAACAAAAAAGTGTTGCTGGCTGGATGCACGGCTGCCTGGCTGGATTTCTTGTGCATGGACAAATGCTCGTGCGTGGGCGATGACGTCACCCACATCCCCACAGCGTTGAGCCAGGTTGTGCCAGGTTCTTGCGCGCTGACCTCACGACCTCCCCCCCTCCACCCTACAGGACATCATCACTCGGCACGTTAGGCGTTCATTGCCACGCAAGTGCCTGTGACCAAATACATTGTAGTGAGCGACTTCCGAGATCCCCGTATAACCTACGCAGGCTGTTGGGGCAAGCGCTATTGGCAAGCACCTATGAAGGTCAACATGGCACACGAGAAGGTGATACGACTAGCACAATGCCTGGCTGCGTTTCTCTCCCCATTGGTGATAGTTACACACTTTAAACAGCACTTAAGGCCGAGTCGATCTAGGGGAGGCCCAGGAACGCGTCAGATATTTGTCACCGATGTTGGCCGTCAGTGGGAATCGAACTCGGGTCGTCGCTCTCTAAATAAGCACACACACAAAGGCGTACACACATGCACAGCTCCCTCCGATCTCACACCATAGCCCCCGGTCCTCTCTACAAAACTCCATCCCCTCTCTCCACATCTTTCCTCCTCCCTCCCCCTATCCAGATGTAGAGATGTAAATAGAGTCTCTATGGCGTGTACGCCATCTAGGTTCACGAGCAGGTAACTGCATCTGACTCGTACCTCTCTCTGGCACCGGCACGTGAACGGCACGGGGTAACAAGCGGGCCCTAAAAGGGGGCTTTAGGGACACGTGACGCTGGCTCCGGTTCCTTCGGGAGAGATCGATAAGAGGGATGGGGGCAAAGCGTTTGTGGCTGTCTCTAGGAGTTGACGTCTCTTCGCTCTTAGATTGTACTTTCAGGCTCCGTGGGTCAGGAAGAAGTTGCCATCCTGACCCGGTTACGTAGTGACCCGGTTAGGGTCGAGTTAACCCGTTGAAACGTGAGAGTAGTAGCCCTGTTGGGGCCGGTATAACAAACGTGGTGCCTTTTAGAATAAAGTGTGTGTCTCCGTGGAACCCACTACACAGAAAACCCTCCTCTCCTCTCCCACAAATCTCTGCTCTTCCTTTCCTCTCTTCCCTCCAACATTCCTCTCTCGTCGACCAATCCCCATCTACCCCAACACCCACTACCCCAGCCAATACGTCAATCATGTTTTCGCCAGCCCAGGGCAGCGCCCGCTGTGGTAGCGCAGCCCTGCCATCTGCCGATAGCCACGCCCGCAAGCGCAGCAGCGGTAAAGCTTCTCGCCGCACTGGTGCTTCATCATGTGCTGCGTGGCTACCAACAGCGACTGGAATGTGCGTCCGCACACTGTGCAGTGGTGCCGCTGAAGCCCCTGCCGCTTTTGCCCCTGCTGCTTTTGCCGCTGCCAATGGTGCTGCGACAGCAGGTGCTCCATTAGCAAGTGGACCGATGTGAAATTCCGCAGGCACAGCGGGCACTTGTGAGGACGGGCTTTCGCACAGCGTCGGGCGGTAGTGACACCACCAGTGCCACTGCCTTGTGCGTCGCTGACTGTTGCCTCGCCATTAAGGTCATTGGCGCTACCCACCACCATCTTCGTTTTCCGCTTCCTGAGACTGCTGTGGTCGGACGAGGCGGTGGCAGTGATGGTGAAGACATCGGGGTAGTCCACGGCCTCCAGGGAGCTAAATTGCGCGAGGCCGCCAAGCCCCCCCGACCGGGAGACGGGCAAACAGTTGGAGGGACCTGTGGAGAAAGATGGGGGGGGGGGGGGGAATAAGAAAGGGGATGGGTAGTGGTGCGTCGGCATGATGCATTTCATTTACACGTCGATTCTTGTTCAAGATACATGCACCAAAATGTCACGTGAGAATCAATTAATTACGATTGTCAATCAAATATTTACGATTATTGACAATTTGTGTGATAGACCAGGGTGAAGAACACATTTCTTGCAGAGGGCCGAATAGGACTTTCAGATATGTAATGGTTGGCCACACATTAACAAATGTGTTACCGTTCAATTACAAGACGAGACAACACATTCCTGCGGAGGGAGCTGGTCGGAACGTTGGGTTGCGCGGTCAATGGCCAGGGTCAACGGCGGCGTGGTGTATTCCGCAAATATGCCCGACTGTGAGGGCGGGCACAAGCCGGCGTGAGTAGGTTAAACGTTGAGTTTTATAAGGGCACCACGGGGTGACCAGCCCCTCCCCACCCAGCCCCACCGCCCACCCAGCCCCCACCCAGCCCCACCCTCCCCCTCTCCACCCAGCCCCTCCCCACCCTCCCCACCCAGCCCCTCCCCACCCTCCCCACCCAGCCCCTCCCCACCCTCCCCTCCCCACCCAGCCCCTCTCTCCCCACCCAGCCCTTCCCTGCACGACGGACACAATAATCCCCTGTGGGCTGGTGTAACCAGGAGGTTCCTACCAGTATAACAGAGTATGAAGAGACCTTTGCTGTGACAGACGTGAGCGAGTGTGCGAAAATAAAATAAAACAAGTGTTGCTGTTGCCAGCTCAAAAATATTCCCCTCTAGTACCCGATTAGTGCGGCCAAGATATTTGCAATAATGGGTAAATATGATAATCTTATTCTTCGGTTCTTTCGGTAAAGTCACGTAGGTAGAAAAATAGTAATATAGTGAATTTAAAAAACCACGACGTTTCGACCGCAACATAAGCGGTCGTCATCAGGAAAAGGGGGTTTAGCCTCTAAAGGCAAACTGTTTATAAAGGTTTAAAATGGGCGTAGCCCAAGTGTCAGCAGCATGGGCGGGGCAGCTAATGTTAATGTAAGTGATGGGCAATGGCGGCATTGGTGGTGGGTTTCCACCAATTAAAGGGCTGCCAGGTAAAGGTTTAACATTTGCGTAGCTCAGGTGTAGCAGCATCGGCGGGGCAGATGTGAATGTAAGTGATGGTAGTAGTGACTTTAAGAACCAAAGACTATGAATTCCTGCAGTCACTAAAGTTTTAAGGGTAAATATCATTTGGAGGCCATGTCAAATTGGTAGGCCTCGTGTGATCGTGGTGAAATGAAGTAGACTACGACTTTAGCCCGAAACAATGCCACTGCATGGACTCAATTGTTAGCTGCCGTTATCTTACCTTGTTGGGCATCTACAGGTTCCAGCTTCATTGAGTGTTCATCTCCCATTGGAATGAGTGTATCTGCAGTAGACACAAACACACACATAAATACAAGGTTTACCTCTTCAGCCTTAGAAATTGTAGGAGTAAGTGCTATTAGAAAGCTCCTATTAAGGTAATTAAAGAGCATAATCGAATAGTGTGGTTAACACTATTCCAGGCCACCTTTACCTCCCCAGTAGTGATGGGCAAACACTGCACCAGGTACTCGTATAAGTTTGAAATGACCAAGGAAGGCCCATAATACATTTAAATACCACACACCACTGATGCACATTGTCGGGAATTGAACCCAGGCCACCGGCATTGTAGTGGTGTGTGTGGAGACCGCTGTATCACGACTCCAGACACAAGCAGACGCACAGAGACCCCTCAAATTACATCGACTTTTGGGCAAGTAGGAACAGCGCTCGAGAAGATGGCGTGGCCACTATCACCACCACCACCAAATCCAGACAAGTACACAACATCCAGACAAGTACATCACCAGGGCGCTTGTGCCGGGCTATGTGCACTTTAAGGCCACGTGAAGTGTCGAAGGTTTGCTGGCAGGTCACAGGACAGATCCAGGTGTCATGGGTTGACTGACTGAGATGACTGGCAGATGCATCTCCTGTGCTCCCCACTGTGCCAACTTGCTCCATGTGAGCTGTCCGGTGCTCCGCTCATTGTTATAAGCGTCACTCCTGTGCCCTCCACAGAGGCCGATCTTGACACCGCTGGTACCAGACATCAGCAAGGCCACTCAGCTCCATATTCTTTTGCAACTTATTAGTGCATCTCTTTTCTAGCCTGTGCCGCGCCCATTTAGCCCACTTTAACCGGCCAAAAAAAAAGTTGTTTGGGCATGTGGTGGCTGGGCAAGCGGGCGACATGATGCAGCCAATGGAGCCTTCCCTGCTGGAGTAGCTCTTCGACGGGACTGTGTGCAGATCTTCTCAATGATGGATGAATATAATTTTGTAGGCCATGTAAAAGTGGTAGGCCTCATGCGATCGTGGTGAAATCAAGTAGGAGGTCAGAATGTTCAGATGGGCCATTGGTTCTCCACTCCCATCGTAGATAATACGAGATTGAATTTGGGAGGCAAAAACGATTGGGGTGATATTATCTCATATGCACCAACTGTCATCATGGTCCAGTAACATCGGCCCGATTACAAAAAATCTCTTCACGCTCAAACAGTGAAGCGCATCTCTTCGCGGCATCCATTTTATCGACCCCACAGGCATAATTACAATCAGGATGAATTGACTACAATGAGGATATGAACTCGCAAACTCCTGGCAGCAAGTCAAATGCTCTGGCCACAGCAATGCTGGCAGACTACGACTGAAGCCCAAAACAATGCCATCTCATGGACTTGTATTAGCTGCAGTTATCTTACCTTGTCTAGCGGCAGTTATCTTACCTTGTACATCTACATGTTCCAGCTTGATTGAGTGTTCATCTTGCATTATAATGGATGTATCTGTCGTGACACAAACGCACACATAAATACAGAAGACATAATTTTCCGTAAAGTTAAAATGTGGGAATTTACATTTAATTTGGCTAACTTACAGCTCTGAAAAATCGTGCGATGAACATTCTCTCTCTTGCAGGGTATGGTGGGAAAGTACCCGACCATAGAGTGTCAAATAAATGGTCACTTGAAGGGATCTCAGCAGTGCTAAGTTATTAAAAATGTGCCAAACAGACTGAAGAACGGCCCCAAAATATATCCCAATGGATTCAATCATCTCACACCATTACCCAGATAGTGCAACTGGAATAATATTGAAACAAAAAAGAAACACACATCTCACCATTGGAACCTCATTTGCCAGTAACAAAGTATGATAATTGTTTTTTTTACCCTTTTATCTGGCAACAAAACTGACACCTTTTTTACAAGGAGTCATGTTTGCATTGACCACAATACCTGCGGTCGGAATGCAAACAAAAAAACACAACTCTGATAATGTATGCACTGTCCTTGAAATTGATTGGTCCACACCCGAGACAGCTTTCTTTAGAGCCTAGTCTCACGTGGTGTTGGACCAGATGATGCCAAAAGGCGCACAACTCAAAGACAACGCACCATCAGAGTATGAGAGCTCGGGGTAAGCATTTACACCATTGGAAACTCATTTGCCAGTAACAAAATATGATAATTGTTTTTTTACCCTTTAATCTAGACTAGGCTCTAAAGAAAGCTGTCTCGGGTGTGAACCAATCAATTTCAAGGACAGTGCATACATTATCAGAGTTATGTTTTTTGTTTGCATTCCGACCGCAGGTATTGTGGTCAATGCAAACATGACTCCTTGTAAAAAAAAGGTGTCAGTTTCGTTGCCAGATAAAAGGGTAAAAAAAACAATTATCAAACACACATCTACCAGTGCAGCAGCAGCAGCCTATCATTGGCCAACCACAAACACAAGGGGGACATCACAGTAATACATTCTGCTACTCCTGGCGCAGTTATCTGACTTGACTACCTGAATGTGAAATTATAGTTGTTGCTCGGCATCTACATCAGCCAAACGAAAGAAAATTGGCCAACCTTAACTCTACCTTGCAAAGGAAAGTGGACCAACGAACTTAACTCAACCGTGGAACGAGACCGCCAACAAGTTCTCACCAGGCATGTCACTCACGGCCGTGCGGTACGCGTGCTCGCTGTCCCGCGTTGGCGAACTCTGTGAAGACCCAGCCTCCCCCAATAATCCACTTGAACGTCCACCATCTCCACCACGTCCAACACCACCACCGACATCGCCTCCTGCCTCGGCACCAGCATCACCACCAGCATCATCACCAGCATCATCACCAGCGGCGCCACCATCCACCTGGTGCAGCCTCTGCATCGTGAGCGACAGTTCGCGACTCAACCCGTTAACCATCTTTGCGAATATGTCCTTCAGTTCATCGTTAACACCACGATGACCACTACTGCCACCACCGCCATTTCCGCTAGCACCACAAACGCCACCACCAGCCTCGGCCTGCAGCAGCCGCGTTGGTGCCCCCGACTCGTCCAGGCAGTCCAGCTCCGCCACGAACCGCCGCAGCACGGCGTAGAAGCCGAAGGGCAGGCGGTCGCGCGCCGCGGCCAGCAGCTCGTCACGCACGAGGCCATCCCCGACGCAGGCGCGTAGGACCTCGTAGTCCCGGATGCCCAGCTCCGAGTCCATGGCCCGGACCACCTCCTCGTTCACGCCCTGCGCCTCCAGCCACGCCGGGAAATCCCTAGTGGGGTCCAGGGTGATGGAGGCGATGGCTGGGGTTGGGCCGGTTGCCACCGCGCACGCCATTGCCTTTTCACGATTCCTACGGGAAACTGGACGGCAACATTTAAAAAAAAAATTTTAAGAGCTTCATTTTACGTGATGAGGGTGGTGGTAATTTTCGGAACTTTTACTGGTAGGAACCTCCTGGTTACACCAGCCCACAGGGGATGATTGTGTCCATCGTGCAGGGAGGGGCTGGGTGAGGAGGGGAGGGGCTGGGTGGGGAGGGGCTGGGTGGGGAGGGGCTGGGTGGGGAGGGTAGGGAGGGTGGGGCTGGGAGGGGGGTGGGAGGGGTGGGGCTGGGTGGGGAGGGTGGGGCTGGGTGGGGAGGGGCTGGGTGGGGAGGGGCTGGGTGGGGCTGGGTGGGGAGGGGCTGGTCACCCCGTGGTGCCCTTATAAAACTCAACGTTTAACCTACTCACGCCGGCTTGTGCCCGCTCTCACAGTCGGGCATATTTTCGGAACACACCACGCCGCCGTTGACCCTGGCCATTGACCGAGCAACCCAACGTTCCTACCAGCTCCCTCCGCAGGAATGTGTTTCAGAAGCGACCTGGCCACCAATGATAGCCCAACACAGTGGCTTATCGTGTGGGATATTTATAGCAGCCGTGGACATTCATTGCGAGTCAAATAATACTCGTAAAACGCGTGACGTTGATTCTAAACCGGGGACCAGGAGCACCGCAGACTCCAATTATACAGCAGCAGGCATCGTATAGGTGTAATGTTGAACTTTTCGCATTTTAACACGTAGGCTTTCGCCACCAATATTATTCATAACAAAGGTTTTTGGGTGAGATCGCGTTATTTATAAATGTGTTGTAACCCTCCACCACCCGACACGGCCAAACAGTAAAAAAATGTGTCACGTTTTTCAAAGTGTAATAAAAGGACTCAGACACTTCTTTCTGTCTTCGTGTCCTTTATTGGGTTCTTGTCTTCTCCCACACGGCACTCTGTTATAACTCTGTATTTGTAGCCCCCGGCTGTTGACTGCTATTATAGCTTCCCTTCTCTTCCCGCAGACTCTCTGCTTCATCTACCGTAACCTCTGTTCTCTCCCTGCAGACTCGCTCCTACCCCTATGCAGACTCCCGCTGCTACCCCTATATGCAGACCCTCTGGCTGCTACCGTATGCAAACCCGCTGCTGACTCTGTATGCAGCCCCGCTGCTGACTCTGTATGCAGCCCCGCTGCTGACTCTCTGTGCAGCCCCGCTGCTGACTGCAGCCTCCTCGCTGCTTCGGGTCGGTCACCGCTGGCCAACGGTGCCGATCCTCGCTCCCCCGTGTTCGTGGCGATCTCGCCACCCTCCGCTTCGCCCTTCGTGGCCTCTCTCTGTTCCTGGTTCCCCGTCACTCCTCATCCTCTTCCGGTTCCCCTCCTTCTATAGCCTAACCCCTCACCGCCCCACGTGACCTAACTCCTCCCCTCCTGACGTCACCTCCGGAGGGCCGTTTACGCCCGCATTACATCACCCTCCCCCATAAAGAAAATCCAGCCGACCTCGGCTGAATTGCAACCTGACAAGAAATGCGGGTGTAAAGGGCCAACACGTAAAAAGACACGAAGCATGCAACAACAATATAACCAGAACACAACACAATACAATTTTAACGAAACGTGAGGGATTTCGAGCGAGTACGGGTAGCCGGGCTGTCCCGAACGGTCGGCAGCCCACCCGCCGAGCGGGAACGTGGAAGGGTTTTAGGGGCGACGGGAACAAGTTCGTCCGTCGCCATTGGAGGCCCGCCACTGTTCCGGTCGCGTCCAGAGACATCCCGTACTCGCGTCCGCGGAGGGATAGGAAGAGCTGCAGGTCCCGTGGGTTCTGCGGCTCCGGTCGGCATCCCACGAGCGGAACGTCCTCCTCCCTGCGCTGTCACGGCCGGCTTGTCTGTGAAGGGTACGACAGGCGCTCTCGCAAGGTCAGCAGACACAGGCAAGGGCGAGTCGGCAGCAACAGACCCCGGCAAGGCAACTTCGGGAGATGACGCATCCGGCCGCGGGGCAATGTATGGCTTCAACCGGGATGTATGCACGAACCAGCGCCGCGAACCAACCTGAACACGCGCCGACTGTGGGTTGGGAACCTCAATGAGGCGGACCGGACCTTGCCACGGTTTGTGTAATTTAGGAGAGGTACCTGGCCGCACCTGTGGGCAATGAAGCCAGGCCAGGTCCCCCTTCTTCCAGGGGCACTCCCCCTTCGAACGTCGGGCACACCGCTCATTCCTGGACTGAGCTTTGGCTGTAGCCATGCGGGCTCTTTCCCTCGCCTCAGTGACACGGCGAACGTTGTCCTGAATATACTTAGGAAGAGGCTTAACAGGTCCCCTCGCACCGGTTCCCAACTGCTCATTAATCGGCGGCACATTCTCACGGCCGTACATAAGGAAGAACGGCGAGTATCCAGTAGCCGCGTGCGGCGTCATGCGATACGCCGAAAGCACCCCAGGGATATGCAAATCCCAATCAGATTGATTTTCCCCGACTGTATGGCACAGCATGGCGGACAGAGTCCGATTCAACCGTTCCACCATACCATCCGTTTGCGGGTGGTAGGGGGACGTCCGTATCTTTTTAGTTCCAAGAGCCGCACACACCTCCCCCAACAATTTGGACGAAAAGTTACGCCCTTGATCTGTAAGGAGCCTCTCCGGCGCCCCCTTGTCCATTACATACCCAAATAGAAAGGCGTCAGTGATAGACGCCGCTGACTGGTCAGGCAAAGGCCAGGCCATCGGCCAGCGAGAGAGGTACTCCACCCCCACCAGTAAATACTTATTTCCCTTAGCAGATGGCGGAAAGGGTCCCAAGATATCTAACGCCACCAGCTCATTAACCCGAGATACTTGAATCGATTGTATCGGCGGAACATATGGATGTTTAGGCGGTTTACGGCGGGCACAATCGGGACACGCGCGAACGTGACCGACGACATCCGTCGTCATGCCGTGCCAATAATAGTCTCGTTGCAGCGTCAATAGGGTTTTCTGCACCCCCAGATGTAAAAGTGTGTCACAGTGCAACGATCTAATCAACTCGTACCGCAATGACGCAGGCACAACGAGACGCCAGTGTTCCTGTATCCCTTCCCTCCACATCAGTAACCCGTCTCGGAGAGCAGTTTCCGAAATACCACCCGCACCGAGTTCCTTACCCGCCTTCTCCGTTCGTTTTCGTAACGACACCAAAGAATCGTCCAACATTTGCTCCCGAATCCACACAGACCTCGGAAGACGCAAAATCCCGTCCGCCGGTCCCCCGTCAACCGGTCCCGGTGTAAGCGGAGTTTCGAGAACATCCACCGCCAGCGCGACAGGCTGAGGGGGGAGCTGAGTCGGTCCACACCTATGCGTCCCCGACGCACACGCACAAGGGGATTGTTGCGGCAACCTGGACAGTGCGTCCGCGTTAGCGTGACGCACACCCTTCCGATGGTGAATTTGGAAGGAAAACTCTTGCAACGTGTACAGCCATCTCGCCAATTGTCCGGATGGCTGGTCCATCTTAAGAGCGTATTGCAAGGCCGCATGGTCCGTGCGGACAATAAACGACCGACCGTACAGATACGGTCAAAATTGGCGGAGAAAAAACACGATAGCCAAAAGTTCTCTGCGAGTGACGCAGTAACGGGTTTCCGCGGGAGACAAAACTCGACTCCCATACGCCACCACACGCTCAACACCACCTTTTGACTGGGACAACACCGCCCCAATACCAGTGTCACTCGCATCAGTATCCAGAATGAAGGGATGTTCAAAATCCGGATAATCCAACGTCGGTGCAGTAGCCAGTAAATCGCGCAGGCTCCGAAACGCCGCCTCCTCCGGTGGTCCCCACACAAATTTATGCCCCTTCCCAGTAAGGAGATGCAAAGGCCTGGCGATAGTAGCGAAATTCGGAACGAACCTCCGATAATATGAGGCGAACCCCAAAAACCGGCGCACATCACCCACCGTGGCCGGGGTTACCCAATCCCGGACACACGCAGTTTTCTCTGGATCCGTGGCCACCCCGTCCGCACTAACAATATGTCCCAAGTACCGAACGGAGCGTTGCAGTAGATGACATTTCTTAGGCTTGAATTTCAAATTAGCAGAACGCATTCTGGCAAATACAGCCTCCAACCGCAGTAAATGCTCATCAAATGTGCGGCTGAAGACAATAATATCATCTAAATAAATGAGACATGTCTCCCACTGCAACCCCGTCAATACCAACTCCATCAATCTCTGAAAAGTGGCAGGGGCTGCATTCAACCCCATCGGCAGACAATTAAATTGGAATAACCCCTGCGGCGTACGGAAAGCTGTTTTTTCCCGCGAAGGCTCGTCAAGGGGGAGCTGCCAGAAGCCCGAAGAGAGATCAAGCGTTGAAAAAAACTTAGCCCCTGACAAGGCGTCGAGAGAATCGTCCATACGCGGCAGGGGATACGCATCTGCCACCGACACTTTATTCAACTTCCGAAAATCCACACAAAATCGCAATTTACCATCCTTTTTTTTAACCAACACAACAGGCGCGCCCCACGGGCTATTAGACGGAGATATAATATCCGCTTTCAACATGTCTTCCACTGCCCCTCGAACATGCTCACGCTCAGCCGGACTCATCCGACGCGAGTTCAAGCGGATAGGGGCAGCGTCCCCCGTGTCGATATGATGAGAGAGCAGCGAGGTGCGTCCCAAGTCCAAATCGTCCGAGCTAAACACATCGGAATAGCTCGATAATAATTTATGAATTGCACAACGCTGCTCGGCGGAAAGGGCCGAATTTTCCCCACATAATTCGGCGATCCAACGATCATCCACCCCTCCATCGTGTGAAACACCACCCACCAGCCCCCCGTCCGGCAGGTCACTCTGAGCCGTAAACGCCGTAGTGGCGTGTGCCACAACGGTACCAGCCGGCACACACACACTTTCAGTACTCGCATTTAACACCTGCAAAAACGGGCGCTGATCTGGACGGACAATAGTTTGCGCCCCCACCAGTGCCAGTCCGCCCGTAACAGCGGCGGACGGCGACAGCAAAATCCCAAACGCACCCTGCCGACCCGGAACCGGCTTCCGGTATCGTAAGGGAATGAGCATCTGCGAGCCAGGTGGAATATCAACCGAAACTTCCGATAACGCCTGCACCTGGGCAACCGGAGCCGGTCGCCCCCAGGCGGACTGTAAGAACGCCAATTTCCGGCCCCCTGGTAGTTCAATGCAATTTTCATTGATTCTAATTAGAATGGGCATCTTAGCCAAAAAATCCGTACCCAACAGGCAAGGAACCGCCAGGGACCTTGAAATTAACACAACGCCCGAGGCCGAGACACCCCCGATAGAAATGTTAGCGTCCACCTGTCCCACGATGCCCATACTACCCCCGTTCGCAGCGATGCAGGAAGCGTAAGCCGGCCTCACGGCCCCCGGTGGGATGTTCAAAAGATGGAATATCACATCCGAAATAATGGTCGCGGACGCCCCGGAATCCACCAAAATACGTACGTCCACCCCTTGAATCGACCCCGGGACAGTGGACGACCCGGTAGCGGCCGCGACAACCCGCCGAGCCAGCTTACGCCACTGCGTTATCGAACGACAAGGCGCAGATACTGGCCTCCCGTATTTTAGAACATCCGCGTCGCATACCAACGGCGATGAGTGAGGTGTCGGGCCTTGCCGGGTGTCTGGTGCGCACCGACTTGCCTGTGCCGGAGGGTCTTTCTTTGGGGCGTCCGCTGTCGAGGCCTCCTGCTGGGGCGGCCCCGGAACCCGGGCCCAGCAGTCCCTGGCATAGTGGCCCCGACGGCCGCAGCGGAAGCAGTCGACGTCGGGGCGGCGCGCAGCAGGCACCCCGTCCCGACGCGGCCGCATCGGCGGCGGAGCCCGCGGCCCCGGCCCGCTCCGGGCCGGCCACGGAGCAGAGGCAGCCGACAACTCCTTCTGGCCGGTCGCATCCGGCACGTACACGGCCTTTGTAGGGTCCCACCCTACGGCCCCCCCATCGACGACAGGACCGCCCGTCCACGCCGTCACCTGTTTCCAGCGGCGGAGATTGAACTGGGCGTCCAAACACTTTGCCGCGGCCCGGGACGTGAGCTTTTCGTGACCGCACGCCGGCATAGGAATGCCAAGATCTCGGGACAACTCCAACATCTTCCCCAAGATGAGTGGTTCCAGCAGGTCAGGCTCCGTCTCCGGGTAAGCGGCCATAGCGAGTTCCAACACGGCGCCCCTGTACGCTACAGGTGACTCCTCAGGTGCGCGTTGCCGCTGCACGAATCGGCGATGGGCGTCATCCGGTGGCTCGTACGCGTCCGCCATTTCATCGAACACCCCTCGCAGAGTTTTCTTCTTCGCAGCTTTTATAGAGCGAAAAAAACGAACAGACTCATCATCAAGAAGAGTCGGGAGCACCTCCAGTGCCTCAGCGTCCGTCCACCTTGCCGTACGTACCGCCGCCAAAAATCTACAGGCGAACGCACTCCAATCGCCCCCGATGGAGAATTCTTTGACGGTTGTAAGGTGACGACTGCGACTCCTTGGCTTGCTTCCGTCCGTTACCGACTCTTCCGGCGGTAAGTTCAGCAAGGCGTCGCAACGCGGTGTCGCCAAGATGGCGGACGGTCCTCGCGGCGGCCCCAAAATGGCGGCTTCCCGCCTTCCGTGGTGCGCCACGCCCAAGATGGCGTCTTCACGCCGCGTGGCCGATGGCGGCGCCATCGAAGACAATCCGGGCTCCTGCCGATCACCACCATCGCCATCCAACGCCGCCCTTGGCGTGACAAGGTCACACAACTCAGTGATGACATTTTTGAGAGTTGCCAGTTGCTCCGCCATCCGAGTCCATCTTAAATCCTCGTCCTTTAACGCAGATGGGTCGGGCGAAGCGGCAACCTCCTCGACACCCGGGCCCTCACGGATCTCTCCCTGCGCCGAAGCGAAGCCGACCGCAGGAGGAAGATCGTCGTCGTCCGACGATGAAGCCGACGCCGGAGATGGAATATTCTTTTTCCTCAATTGTTTCGCCATGCCGTTTCACTTCTGACTCCAGTGTAATAAAAGGACTCAGACACTTCTTTCTGTCTTCGTGTCCTTTATTGGGTTCTTGTCTTCTCCCACACGGCACTCTGTTATAACTCTGTATTTGTAGCCCCCGGCTGTTGACTGCTATTATAGCTTCCCTTCTCTTCCCGCAGACTCTCTGCTTCATCTACCGTAACCTCTGTTCTCTCCCTGCAGACTCGCTGCTACCCCTATGCAGACTCCCGCTGCTACCCCTATATGCAGACCCTCTGGCTGCTACCGTATGCAGACCCGCTGCTGACTCTGTATGCAGCCCCGCTGCTGACTCTGTATGCAGCCCCGCTGCTGACTCTCTGTGCAGCCCCGCTGCTGACTGCAGCCTCCTCGCTGCTTCGGGTCGGTCACCGCTGGCCAACGGTGCCGATCCTCGCTCCCCCGTGTTCGTGGCGATCTCGCCACCCTCCGCTTCGCCCTTCGTGGCCTCTCTCTGTTCCTGGTTCCCCGTCACTCCTCATCCTCTTCCGGTTCCCCTCCTTCTATAGCCTAACCCCTCACCCCCCCACGTGACCTAACTCCTCCCCTCCTGACGTCACCTCCGGAGGGCCGTTTACGCCCGCATTACAAAAGGACAAAATAATTCACTTCTTTAGCCCACCGGTGTGTTGAAGAGAGCATGAACAGCATTTTAAAATAAAATTTTAAAATAAATTTTAAATACATTTTAAAATAAAATGTTAAAATAAATTTTAAAATAAATGTTTTAAATACATTTAAAATACAATTTTAAAATACAATCTAAAAATAAATGTAAAAATAAATTGTTTCAATAAATTTAAAATAACATTTTTAAATACAATTTTAAAATAAGATTTTCAAATAAAAATTTGAAATGCTGTTGATTCTCTCTTCAACACACTGGTGGACTAAAGTAGTGAACTATTTTGTCAACGCAACACTTTTTAAATCCTTTATATTAAGTTCACTTGCTTGCTTGCGCGCTTACGACCGTGCAAATCTTTCGGTCGTTTTTTAACCCACTTCCCGTGATCCAATCGAGCTGACATTTGCACACAGACTCGTTGTGCGTGACAATTTATTTTCGTGAAAAAATATTTCCAAAATTTTCCACTTTATAGGAAAAAAAAATTCATTAAATCCTTTATATTAAGTTCACTTGCTTGCTTGCTTGCGTGCTTACGACCGTGCAAATATTTCGGTCGTTTTTTAACCCACTTCCCGTGATCCAATCGAGCTGACATTTTGCACACATACTCGTTGTGCGTGACAATTTATTTTCGTGAAAATTTTTTCCTAAATTTTCCACTTTTTAGGAAAAAAATTTTTCATATTTAATTTAAAATACCAATGTGATAAAAATGAAACTCTAACTCAAGAAAAACAGAAATGAATAATAAAATAAAACCGATGCCACGCATATAAAGGATTTATAGTGAAAAACTTTGTTTTTACGGGTTAATTTTTTACTGTTTGGCCGTGTCGGGTGGTGGAGGGTTACGACACATTTATAAATAACGCGATCTGACCCAAAAAAACCTATATTCTTTCGCACTGTACGTAGCCAAAGGACAACAAAACTAATCCCAATTAAACAGCTAGGCGGTCAGGGTCGTAAATCTCGGCGACAATGAACTCATTGGGCCCCTTCATGCCGTCTTTAAAATGCAATAAAATACATCGACTGAACAAGACTGTTGCAGCAAGTTCTGTTAGCGAATAGCAACCTATGAAGGCCAACACACGAAGGGGGGGGGGGGGTGTGGGTAGCCAGCACCACACCCGGCCGCCTTTGTCTCTCCAGCTTTATTTATTTATTATTTTTTACACATCGCACCAGCTAATCGTTTGAGGCCGAGTCAACCCGGGGGAGGATCGGCTCGAATCATCACTGTGCGTTGGCCGTGTTGCGGGAAATCTCAATCTCGTGTAGGCGGGGGTTTCGTGTCTGTGGGTTATCACACACGCACCTTGATGTTGCGTTCGTTCGACGTCCGCTGCCTCGTTTGCGGCGTCGTTGTCGATTGTCGGAGAGTAGTAAGGGAAGAATGGAGGGGGAGCGAGCGAGACAGAGAGAGAGAAAGAGAGAGGGCGACAAAAGGAAGAGCAGAGCGAGAAATAGAACAAAAAAAAACACGTGTGGATAAGAGGAAGTGGCTGAAGGGGCAGCAAGCGGCAGGTCTCGCGCGTGCCGATTCGGAGGAGTCGCCGCGCGGCTTGCCGAAGTTGGCGGCCGTTTCGCCGCGGTCGAGATTCGCGTCGTCGGCTGTTCGGGTCCGCCACAGCCCTCTTTGTTCCCTGGGAACGTCCCGTAAATGACGTCACGCGATTTAAAAATATTTTTGAACCCCCTCCCCCCCCGTCGTCATCGTTATACGGCGTCACAAAAAAGTCAGACCCCTCCCCCCCCCCCCTTTTCAAAGATGACGTCACAAAGCTTTGCCCCCCCCCCCCAAAATATAAAACATGCTTCAAATCGCTTTAAACTATTGTCATTGTAGTGCGTATTTAATGTGGCGCTGCATTCTGATGTTGTCGGAGAAAAATTTATTAAAAAGGCTATGTAATTAAGTAGAACGTGCTGTCTATATTTACACGCTAACATCTCCTAGCCCCCGTGATGATGATGATGATGAGAGAGAGACACACGCATACTTCAAATATACAGCAGGCATCGTCAAGGTCGGGATAGATTTCACACCCTCCTGTACACCAGGCGAGGTAGTTAACATCTCCTAGCCCACGTGATGATGATGAGAGAGACACACGCAGACTACAAATATACAGCAGGCATCGCCAGGGTCTGGGATAGAAGCAGCGACCTCCTGTATACCAGGCGATGTAGTTAACATCACCTGGCCACCGTGATGAGGATGAGAGAGCGAGAGAGACACCGCAAACTACAAATATACAGCAGGCATCGTCAGGGTCGGGATCGAACCCAAGACGTCCTGTATACCAAGCGAGGTAGTTAACATATCATAGCCCACGTGATGATGATGAGAGAGACACGCAAACTCCAAATATACAGCAGGCATCGCCAGGGTCGGGATAGATTTCACACCCTCCTGTAGACCAGGCGAGGTAGTTAACATCTCCTGGCCACCGTGATGATGAGAGAGCGAGAGAGACACCGCAAACTCCAAATATACAGCAGGCATCGTCAGGGTCTGGGATAGAACCAGCGACCTCCTGTATACCAGGCGAGGTAGTTAACATCTCCTAGCCCACGTGATGATGATGAGAGAGACACGCAAACTCCAAATATACAGCACGCATCGTCAGGGTCGGGATAGATTTCACACCCTCCTGTAGACCAGGCGAGGTAGTTAACGTCTCCTAGCCCACGTGATGATGATGAGAGAGACACGCAAACTCCAAATATACATCAGGCATCGTCAGGGTCTGGGATAGAACCAGCGACCTCCTGTAGACCAGGCGAGGTAATTAACATCTCCTGGCCACCGTGATGATGATGAGAGAAAGACACGCAAACTCCAAATATACAGCAGGCATCGTCATGGTACACAGGCGACGTTGGGCATAACATCTCGCTACCGAAGAGATGATGGGCTGAGGTTAGAAGTTAAAATCTAACCAGGATTTGAACTCCCAACCGTGATTGAATTGGGGGTAGCTTTGGCTAAGCCTGGGATCTGTGGACCAGCTGGGGGCTTGCGAGGCGTTGTGTGCGTGCGGCTGCGATGTGGCCAGGAGATGGCAATGTTGCATTTCTCTCGCGTGTGGCATTTAACTGGTTACTCTTGTTTCTTGCCACATTACTAACTACTACCATACTATATTCTTTTACACCATTGGAACCTCATTTGACAGTAAAAAATATGATTATTGATTTTTTACCCTTCTATCTGGCAACAAAACTGACACCTTTTTTTTACAAGGAGTCATGTTTGCATTGACCACAATACCTGCAGTCATAATGCAATCAAAAAACATAACTCTGATAATGTATGCACTGTCCTTGAAGTTGATTGGTCCATACCCGAGACAGCTTTCCTGAGACAGCTTTCACGTAGGTAGAAAATAAAATAAATGAAAAATTTCATTTCATTTATTTTATTTTATTTTTTACCGGCGTGACTTTACCGAAAAAACCAAGAGTATGAATTCTTGCAGTCACGAAAGCTTCAAATCTACTAACATACTAACTTTTATTTTAGCAGGTAAGGCTCACTGAGCTATGTAGAAGCGGCCTGACGACAAAATGAGAACTCAACGAAGTGGCTTAGGGGGCCGTCCATAAATGACGTCACGCACCCAGCCCCACCCCTCCTATTTTTGGATGCACGACGGACGGACACAATAATCCCTTGTGGGCTGGTGGAACCAAGTGGTTCCTACCAGTAGAAGGCTGTCTCTGGATGTAGGCCAATCAGTTTCAAATGACAATGCATATTATTTATCAGATCATGTCTGTTTGCATGTTCACCACAAGTACGTGTGGTTAATGCGGACTTGATTCCTTACAAAAAGGCTTCTATTTGGTGTTTGAACATCTTAACACTTGTTCTATTGCCAGGAAAGATTAAACCCTATTCTTATTTTTTCATACTTTGAAACTGGCAAAAAAGGTCCCACATTTTAATATTACATAATGCCGTGTCGGATGATTGACTTCCCACTATTGACTGACTTTGTGTGGTGGGTGTGTGTGGTGGGCGTGTGTGTGGTGGGTGTGTGTGTGGTGGGTGTGTGTGTGGTAGGTGTGTGTGTGGTAGGTGTGTGTGGTAGGTGTGTGTGGTGGGTGTGTGTGGTGGGTGTGTGTGGTGGGTGTGTGTGGTAGGTGTGTTTGGTGGGTGTGTGTGGTAGGTGTGTGTGGTGGGTGTGTTGAAGTATGTGTGGTAGGTGCGCTGAGGGGTGTTTGGTAGATGTGTTTATCTTATAGGTGAACAGGAGGGAGAAAACAATAGTGGGTAGCCGGTGGTAGTTGTGTGGGAGGTGTGTGTGTGTGTGTTTGCGGTGTGTGGTAGATGCCGTGTCAGCAGGTGGGAGGAAGTAATACGAGTTGTGTGTGTCTGAGTTTCTACCCGCAGGGATTGCACACTTCACTCTCCGCACATCCCTGGCGCCTCCATCTCCTGCTGCCCATTTGGGAGGCAAGGGGTGGGGGGAGGGGATAAACGAGGGAAGAGCTCTTATTAATAAGCAGCGTCTGCTAACATTCACACAACTCACATTGAACGCGCCACTCACACCGAAACGTATGAGGGCTCAATTCCAGCCTCAGTTTGTTGAGGATTTTCTTGAGTTCTGGTTCTTTGGCTGTGTCTACGACCCATATCAGGCTCAGTGCCTTCGCTATACCGAGGACCGGGTTTGCTTCTGCGTTCTGGGCTCCAGGTGGTGATCTGGATTACGATCTAGGGTTTTGTTAATTTTTAGTTATGCTGTGACTTGTACTTGGTTGCAAGGGTAAAGTTATAACCAGGTTCTAGGCGGTGGTCTGGCTTCAAGTTTTAGGGTTTAGATCCAGGTTTGGGGCAGGGTCTTTATACAATTATCCAAGTTTCAGATCTTGGTCCAGAATACGATATTTTTGGGTTTTGTTTGTGAGAGCAGAATGGGATCCAGTTTTTTCGGCTTTTATTTCTAATTCTGTAAAACACTTTTACCAGGGTTCCTTTTGTCCTCTTTTGCTTCTCAGTTAAAAGCTAAAATTTAGTGCTGGGTTGGGGTTTCAGGATTAATTCTCTGAGTCTTGATCTTGGGTTATCATTGTGCGCTCTGCGTTCTGCAGTTAGGTTTATGTCAGAGTCTGGTTTGAGGTTCTGAGTTCCAATTTAGCATTTTTTTGTTTGAATATTTTTTTTAATTCATTCTGGGATTTGGGTTGCGTCCGGATTTCAAGGTCCGCATTCGGATCGGCTGCAGAATTTAGCGTCAATATCTTTCGGGGTCCCGCGTCGAGAGTTTGTTTTTTTCGGGAGTTCGGGTTCTCGCCTCCCAAGTTCCGAGTTCCAGGTTCTGACTCCGGTGCAGGATGGGGGGATTCGAGGAGTCTGAGGGGGGCAGCTGCTGCTCTGGATTTCTCGACTACGAGACGCCAAAGAGCGTGGTGGTGAAGAGCAGAGGCCTCGGCGTCGCCTATCGCATCGGACAGATGCTCATCCTGGCTTATTTCATAGGGTGAGTGTACAACCACTACAATAATACACACATGTATGCTGAACTTATTTCGCTCCATACGTAGCCCACCGTGATAATCGGAGGTGCCTACACAACAGCAACACACAATACGTAATATTCAACAGGGGTATGGGCAAGAGCAGTTTCACTGATTTAAAAATATTTTCACAGATTTGAGCATTATCAGGCAAGAATGCTTTGGCTGGATCGTGCAGCCAGCATGCCCAGTCATCACAATTCCCAAGCAGCTGCTGTTTGGATAGATGCAATAGCTAAATGAACACGCCACACATACTTGACAGGCGATGAGCGATGTGGCACGGGAGGGCCTGAGTGAATTTGCCAATGAGTGGTGCTAGTGCTGTCAATATTTCCCTCTGTACAATTGGCTCGTGAAAGGCTCCGCTGGGCAGCTGGTCGCAGCCATCGCATTTATTAACAGCAGACGGTGGGTGACACAATATTGAGCTGAATGCCAGGCGGATGAAGTATTCTTGGGTTTTTTCGGTAAAGTCACGTAGGTAAAAAATTGAAATAAAAATAAAATAAAATCACGACGTTTCGGAGGCAACACAAGCCTCCGTCTTCAGGTGGAATCGTCACAGCACGCTGTATCAAACTTGATACAGCAAACTTGATACAGCGAGCGTGCTGTGACGGTTCCACCTGAAGACGGAGGCTTGTGTTGCCTCCGAAACGTCGTGATTTTATTTAATTTTTATTTCAATTTTTTACCTACGTGACTTTACCGAAAAAAACTACGAATATGAATCCTTGCGGTCATTAAAGCTTCAAATCTAGGCAGATGAAACATAATGAGTTAGCGTCATTGTGCAGGTGGGGTGGTTTATATGCCAGCCACTGCCGTCTAGAAGCCCATGACATTTGGGATTGTCCTGTGACCTCCTGCCACTGAGCAATCCGTTATTGTCTCCATGTAGCCTCACAATGTACCTAGCCTGGCACAACAACCACGGGGGCCATGTCACCGCCACTTTGTGTGAATAGAAGCTGCTGCTACTATTCATTCTAGATTTGAAGTTTCCGTGACTGCAAGGATCCATACGCTTTAGGTTCTTTCGGTAAAGTCACGTATGTGAAAAAAAAATAGAAATAAATAAAAAATAAATAGAAGTAAATTAAATCACAAATTTACTAAAAAAAAGTTCATTAAATCACAAATGTATTTTTTTCCCACCTACGTGACTTTACCGAAAGAACCAAAGAGTATGCTGCTACTGTTGTCCTATTTTATGCTTCTCTGTAATTCTACTGTAGTAGGGAGTGGTGCCCGAGTGGTTAGCGCACTAGTTTCACTCCTAGTCCAGCTAACATCAGTAGGCAAATGGCTTCTGATCCAATCGTGTGCCCCCTATAAGTCAATTAAATGTTTGTGTCGTGTATCAACTTGAGCACTTGGGAGACTAAAAGCGGCTGGGCGTGGTGCTGGTCCCACCACGATCTTGTCTGCTGGGGCAGCCTTCAATTGGAACTAGCTAACAGTGATGTGACGGTTCCACCTGAAGACGGAAGCTGGTGTTGCCTCCGAAACGTCGTGATTTTTTATTTTATTTCTATTATTTCTTCTATAATTTTTATTACGTATCTTTTACAATTTATATTTTATTATTCCATTATTTATTTTTCACCTACGTGGCTTTACCGAAAGAACCAAAGAGTATAGCTAACAGCAGTTGTTTCCAGTCTATAACGCGCTGTACAGCATGTTGTAATTCTGCGTAGTGTTGTTTGTTTGCCTTTCTTCCTCGGCACCTTACTAATTAAGTAGCGTTTTAAGGCGATGCCACTCAGGGTAGTCTCGTTATGTGTAAATAATGGCCAATGAGTAGTTGTTCAATTTACGTCTTTGTTAAACAACTTTGAGAACAACAACATACTACTACATGTCGTTAAACATCTCTCTCTACACTCGACTGTCTAAGCATGTACTTCTAAACGCCAGCGCCTGTTAATGTCATGCACACGTTTTCTACAAGAGTGTATCAGTGTACGCTGTATGTAAACACATTCCTGCGGAGGGAGCTGGTAGGAACGTTGGATTGCTCGGTCAATGGCCAGGGTCAACGACGGCGTGGTGTATTCCGCAAATATGGCCGACTGTGAGGGCGGGCACAAGCCGGCGTGAGTAGGTTAAACGTTGAGTTTTATAAGGGCACCACGGGGTGACCAGCCCCTCCCCACCCAGCCGCACCCCTCCCACCCCCCACCCAGCCCCTCCCTCCCCACCCAGCCCCTCCCCACCCAGCCCCTCGCCACCCTCCCCACCCTCGCCTCCCCACCCTCCCCTCCCCACCCTCCCCTCCCTCCCCACCCAGCCCCACCCTCCCCACCCAGCCCCTCCCCACCCAGCCCCTCCCCACCCTCCCCTCCCCACCCTCCCCTCCCTCCGGACCCAGCCCCTCCCTGCACGACGGACACAATAATCCCCTGTGGGCTGGTGTAACCAGGTTCCTACCAGTAATTACGTGTTTGTCTATTGTGTTTACGTGTAGGAATGTGTTTCTGTGCGTACTGCTTTGTGGGTGTTTGTGTGTCGGTACCTGTTTGGACCTAAACTTACAAGAAAGACCAAGCCACTGAGGTGAAGGAAGGGGGAGCTCTACTGGGGAAAGAGGGACTGAAGGAAAATGTGCCAAAAAGTGGGTGAAAGTAGGAGACCCACTCCCACCGTGTACCAACATCCCACGTCCGAGAATGAGGAGGTTTACCACAACCTTCGCTCAGAGATTCGTAAAGCAGTGCGGCGCTGAAACGATAAGTGGTGGTCACGGTTTGCTGAGGAGATCGAAACTGCCTCTGCAGTAGCACAAATACATCTTTAATATAATAGAGGCTCGTGAAGGATGCTGCTGTATGGAATATGTATGTATGTTGAACTTCTTTCGCACCGTACGTAGCCAACCGTGCTAATCGGACGTGCAGGGGAAGGACAAGAAACTAAACACAAAAATCATTTCTAAAGAAATTAAGTTTTCAACCTCGAATTTAAAAGCGCATACCTCTAGCAGTCTAGCGGCTTCCTAATATCGGAAGGAAGAGCGTTCCAGACGGCCGCAGAAGCAGCGCATCTGAAAGCGCACAATGCAGTTGGCCGCAAAGGTCGCAATCGGGTACCCGATACCCGTACCCTACCCGATACCCGGTTACCCGTACCCGGCCGGGTACAGGTACCCGTTTGCGACCCTGGTGCGGCCGGGTACGGACGGGTAGGCCGTGAGTCACTGGTGAGTCACTGTTTGTCACTCATTTCCCAACGTCTTGTCTCTTCTCACAATTCAAGTTCCTAGAATCAACCCACCCGCGCCTTCAACATGGCTTCATCCCAGAGGTCGCAATCGGGTACCCGATACTCGTACCCTACCCGATACCCGGCCGGGTACGGATGGCCGGGTATCGGGTAGGGTACGGGTACCCGTTTGCGACCCTGGTGCGGCCGGGTACGGGTAAGGAATCAAAACCCGTTTGCGACCTCTGGTTGACCGTCTTTGTTCGATGGTTAAGCTAAAAGCCGCTGCCGTGAGGATGACCGGAGTTTGCGTGATGGTGGTTTATGCTCCTTTGACGAGATCAGCAAAGGTGTTGTAGTTGATTTGTGGCTCGGACTTTGTGTATAATTCACGCGGCCTCGTAATGTATTCATTCAATGCAGTTCGGCGAGCATTGGACTCAGCAAAGTCGGGGATATCTTGCAGGACCCAACACGACCCGTGCCAGAGTATTTTTCTGAAATATTTTGCAGTTTTTTTCCCTGGATTTTTCTGTTTGCGCATAGTCACTTTAAGATGTTTTCCTGTTCATGTTTTTTGTGTGTTGCGGTTGTACCCGATTCAAGAGCCGAATGGCTCACAGGGCTAAACCAGATAAATGAAACGGAAAAATGAAACTAAACTGAAGCTTCACCATTGGAACCTCATTTGCCAGTAAAAAAATATGATAATTGTTTTTTTACCCTTCTATCTGCCAACAAAACTGACACCTTTTTTGCAAGGAGTCACGTTTGCATAGACCACAATACCTGCAGCCATAATGCATCATCTGGTCCAACCCACGTGAGACTAGGCTCTAAGGAAAGCTGTCTCGGGTGTGGACCAATCAACTTCAAGGACAGTGCATAGATTATCAGAGTTATGTTTTTTTTTGCATTATGGCTGCAGGTATTGTGGTCTATGCAAACATATCCTTGTAAAAAAAAAGGTGTCAGTTTTGTTGCCAGATAGAAGGGTAAAAAAACAATTATTAAACTGAAGCTTGGTAATGTTTTTTCTTTGCCAGACGTCCCCGTCGAGTACTGAGTTGCAACAATCGACCAATCAACTTCAAGAACAGTGCATATATTATCAGAGTTATGTTTTTTTTGCATTATGACTGCAGGTATTGTGGTCAATGCAAACATGACACCTTGTAAAAAAGGTGTCAGTTTTGTTGCCAGATAGAAGGGTAAAAAAAACAATGATTAAACTGAAGCTTGGTAATGTTTTTTCTTTGCCAGACGTCCCCGTCGAGTACTGAGTTGCAACAATCGACCAATCAACTTCAAGAACAGTGCATACATTATCAGAGTTATATATTTTTTTTGCATTATGGCTGCAGGTATTGTGGTCAATGCAAACATGACACCTTGTAAAAAAGGTGTCAGTTTTGTTGCCAGATAAAAGGGTAAAAAAAAACAATTATTAAACTGAAGCTGTGTAATGTTTTTTCTTTGCCAGACGTCCCCGTCGAGTACTGAGTTGCAACAATCGACCAATCAACTTCAAGAACAGTGCATACATTATCAGAGTTATATTTTTTTCTTGCATTATGACTGCAGGTATTGTGGTCAATGCAAACATATCCTTGTAAAAAAAAGGTGTCAGTTTTGTTGCCAGATAGAAGGGTAAAAAAAACAATTAATGGTAATGTTTTTTCTTTGCCAGACGTCCCCGTCGAGTAGTGAGTTGCAACAATCGAGCCGCGTCGATACAATACAATGCATCGCTTGTGCAGGTACGTGTTCGTGTACCAGAAGGCATACCAGGCAACTGACATCGTGAGCGAGGTCTCCATCATCACGAAGGTGAAGGGAGTGGCGGCGGTCGGGGACGTGGGCACGGAGACGCGGCGCGTGTGGGATGTGGCAGAGTACGTCTCTCCCGCGCAGGTAATTCACACTGCCCTGGGTAACCTCATACATACCCTTGGGTAACCTCACAACCCCCCTGGATAACGCCACGCTCCTTAGATCAAGACCGTAGCCATGGAGTGAACATTGTGGGGGGGGGGGGGGGGCAAATCTTCCAGGGTGTCTGGGGGTCCCAACCCAGAAAAAATATCTTAATTGAAAACTCATCTCCTGCCTAAAATATAAATAAGTATAACCCGTAAAAACAAAGTTTTTCACTATAAATCCTTTATATGCGTGGCGGCTGGAGTCCTCTCGTCCTCTGGCTTGAGATGGCTGCCACCTATGGGTCAGATGATTGCATTGCACCATTAAGCAATTGGTAATTAAATATCATATTTTTGTCCTAAAAAGTGTAAAATTTTGGAGAAAAAATTTTCACGAACATTAATTGTCACGCACAACGAGTCTGTGTGGAAAATGTCAGCTCGATTGGATCACGGGAAGTGGGTTAAAAAACTACCGAAAGATTTGCACGGTCCTAAGCAAGCAAGCGAACTTAATATAAAGGATTTAAAAAATGAACTAACACGTGGGATGGACCGCGTATCAAGCTAGTGCACTATTCTACATTTGAAGCTTTCGTGACTGCAAGGATTCATACTCTTAGTTCTTTCGGTAAAGTCACTAGTGCACTATGTGTGTTGTTATTATAATACACAAACACACGCTGCCTTTGTGCCCCGCTCTCCCGCTCTCTCCGCCGCTCCCACCGCAGGGTTCTAGCAGTTTTGCCATCATCACAAACGTGCACGTGACGCCGGAACAGACCCTCGGCAATTGTCCTGAGGTGAGCAGTGTGAGGAGTTTACGGTGGTTCAAAATGGTCTGGTTGGGCCACAGAGCCAGTAACCTTTGTCTCAGTTCCTGGGTTTGAAGCATACGTGTAATGCTCTACAACAGCAGTGCTTCACGAGTTTGCTGTACTTATACAGCCTTGCTGTTTGCATTGAACAAGGGGGATCCTATCGTGAAGGTGGGGTATTCTTTACAAGAACGCCTCGCAATCCAGCAGTATTCCCGGCGCCATAGTGAGTTTGATCCTGACCCTGGCACCTGCTGTATATTTCGAGTTTCCGTGTTTCTTTGATCATAATCACGGTGGCGTGATGTTAACTACCTCGCCTGGTATACAGGAGGTCATGGATTCGATCTCGACCCGAACGGCTGTATATTTGGAGTTTGCATATCTCTCTTTCTCCCCGTGTTCAGTTGGATTTTTCTCCGGGTCCTCCTGTATTTCCCCTCCATATTTAGAATCAACGTGCGTTTCGAGCATTTGTTTACTATAAATGTCCATATGATATGCCACTTCGTTGAGCTATCATTTGTGGCCAAGTCACTTCTGAAAAGAGCTATATAGTCCAGTGGGCCTCCGCTGGTAAAATATTAAATATTTTGTTAAAATAGTGAATAGTTATACAAGCTTTACTCAGCTAATGAAACCCACAAGCAAGAAATTGGTTGAGAGTTGTATTGATTAAACAAATGCTGATGGGTAACATTAAGGCCGGACAACCAGTTAGCCAATGGCTTAAGATACTTTATATTTTTTTCCTGGATAGGCGAATAGAAAGTTACTTGAATGTGCCATGAAGAAAGGTACGGTAATTGCCTGAAACGTCGCCGATTATATATTTAATGATTGTATTTTATAAAAAAATTTAATTGTGGTTGTATAACCCCTGCCAACACAGCACCATCACCAGCTAACGTGTCCGTTAAATGCTTCACATTGAATAGCAATTTAATGTTTTTTTTATTTTTCAGAGAATTTTGTCTTTGTCATGTGTGACATTTCGTTCGTATTGCCTGTATAATTTTTTATTTTTATTGCATATTTTTTGTATTGTCCCCAATCTACCACATTTTCACTGAAAACGCAACTACTTCGTTTTAACACTCCAGCTTAACAATTTATTTTAGTGCAGCCTCAACATACTTTTGGGGCAAGTGCTTTTAGCGGGCGCCGATGAAGGGGACTGGCACAGCACGCAAGGGGGTGGGTGGCCAGCACCACGCTCAACAGTCTTTGTCTGCCATATGGCATTGTTTACACACCACAGTAGATACTCATTTTAGGCTGAATCGACCTAGGGGAAGCCCAGGACCGGTTCAGATAATATCATCGTCACTGGTGTTGACCGTATGTGGAAATACAACTGAGTTTGCCGAGTTCATGGCGCAGCACGCTAACTGCTACAACTTTTTGCAGACATTTCAATGAATGCTCCCAATCCCATCAGATCTCAGAAGCTCAGCAGAGTTTTAACCTGGGTGGGTGAGCCACATGAATTAACCAAGTGCTGTAGGCGGTTGTGGGGCTGTATTGCCAGCAGGAGGTAGTGCTGCAAACACATTCCTGCGGAGGGAGCTGGTAGGAACGTTGGGTTGCTCGGTCAATGGACAGGGTCAACGGCGGCGTGGTGCATTCCGCAAATGTGGCCGACTGTGAGGGCGGGCACAAGCCGGCGTGAGTAGGTTAAACGTTGAGTTTTATAAGGGCACCACGGGGTGACCAGCCCCTCCCCACCCTGCCCACCCAGCCCCTCTCCACCCTCCCCACCCATCCCCTCCCCACCCTCCCTATCCAGCCCCTCCCACCCCTCCCCACCCAGTCCCTCCCCACTCATTCCCTCCCCACCCTCCCCACCCAACCCCTCCCCACCTTCCCCACCCAGCCCCTCCCACCCCTCCCCACCCAGCCCCTCCCCATCCTCCCAACCCAGTCCCTCCCCACCCTCCCCACCCAGCCCCTCCCCACCCTCCCCACCCAGCCCCTCCCCACCCAGCCTCTTAAACGTCAACGCTGGCGCGTTTCTCGCTATTATACAATTACGCAATGTATACATAACAACTCCTGAGTGGCCATTCGCCACTAAGTGGCGGTTACATCACCACGGCACTTGTGCCAGGCTAGGTGTGCCCTGAGGCTATCACGCGAAGCGTGGAAGGCTCGCTTGCTTACAGGAGGTCACGGCTTCCTGAGTCAGCTGTTATGGGACCACTGGAACCAGTCATTGCCGGTACGAGTCATCAGCAAGTCCACTCAGCTCCACATCCTTCTCTACTGCATGAGCCCATCTCCTATCCAGCCTCTATCCGGCCAAACCGAAGCTGCTCTCGATTTGTGCCAATTTGCTGTGGTTTTAGCCGCTCGTTGCGAGCGTCACTCATCTGCCCTCCGTTGTTGCTGGAGGGCAAATGCCTCCAACTGCCCGAGTAACGTCCTTTACGAGCCGATAATAGTGCTCAGTGCATGTCTCATATAAAATAAACGCGAGTGTCTTCCTGTGTGTACCACCACCAACACCACCACGACGCTTCCCATAAACAACTGATGGACGGATGGGAATTGATGATCTTTGACCCCGTGTTTCAAAAATCGATGCCCTTAAATGGTTTCCTGTCAAAAGAATATTCGAGCATCAGTCGACCAGATGGATGGCTTCATGAGAGTGAAATTAATGGCTGCTTGTCGGAGCCATCCAGATGCTGGGTTCAAACCTGGCAATTATTTAAACTGTGAATCTTCTTCTTCCAAAACCACAACATTTACAATTTGAGTACGACGTTTCGCTGGTAATTGCATCCAGCATCATCGGGCAATTCGCCAGAATTCAACACACCGGTGGGCTGAAGCAGTGAACTATTTGTCTTTTGTAAACGTGACACTTTTTTACTGATTGGCCGTGTCGGGTGATGGAGGGTTACGACACATTTATAAATAACGCGATCTAAACCCAAAAACGTTGATTATGAACATACAGTACTATCACCGCCTGTGTCAGCACTCCCTGCAGCAGTAGAATCATTGGGTCCCGAGAATATTTGCACCCTCTGCCTACCTAAGGGCTGCGGGGAACTGAGGGCCCACCCTGGCACCTCCCCGCTCAACCAGTCTACATAACAAAGGCTCAGTCCTGGCAGCAGCCTCAGCCGCACCAACCTTATCATAAAAAAAAAATTAACCCGTAAAAAACAAAGTTTTTCACTATAAATCCTTTATATGCGAGGCGGCTAGAGTCCTCTCGTCCTCTGGCTTGAGATGGCTGCCACCTATGGGTCAGATGATTGCCTGCCACCATTAAGCAATTGGTAATTAAATATAAAAAAAAATTCCTAAAAAGTGTAAAATTTGGGAAAAAATTGTTCACTAAAATAAATTGTCACGTACAACGAGTCTGTGTGCAAAATGTCAGCTCGATTGGATTATGGGAAGTGGGTTAAAAAACGACCGAAAGATGTGCACGGTCGTAAGCGCACAAGCAAGTGAACTTAATATAAAGGATTTAAAAACTCCTGTCCAGGGGCTTACCCTGGCTCCTGTCCCATCAACCAGTATATATACAAGGTCGGGTCTCTTGGAATGTCTCTTTACTTGATACAGCAATCGTAGCTGTGACGGTTCCACCTGAAGACGGAAGCTTGTGTTGCCTCCGAAACGTCGTGATTTTTTTATTTTACTTTTATTTATTTTATTTTATTTTTTTACCTACGTGACTTTACCGAAAAAACCTAAGAGTATGAGGGCCATTTGTTTTGCCAGGACTTTTCATGTAATGGCTTTAGGGTTTTACGGCCGGTTGCCACCAGACACCAACCCTCTCCACCTTCATCCTGGCTTGGGACAGGCAGAAACACATTTCTGGCGGAGTTAATGATTTAGCCTGTCGATATTGCTTCCAAAGATCCACGATTATATGGCACTAAATCAATATTGTGGTGTTTGCAGATTATACAACGTGTATATGAATCGCATATGTACGCAAATGCTACGCAGACATCGCGTCATGTCTATCGAACAGCCTGAGCATATGACGTCATATAACTCCTTAAGTACTCTTATCTCCAAACGCCTATTATTGATCAACTCCTGCGCTCACTTATCCTCGACCGCGACTCTTTCACAGTCGTTCAATCGCTTCTTTGTCACTCTGTTACAGCTAATACCGCGGTCGCTCATAATATTCACGTCTCGATACCTTTGCTAATGGGAATGAAGGACTGAGTTTAGCGAGTCTGATCGTTGCCTTTCCTCCGTGCAATGTATATAACGAGCATTCACTGCTCTTGGAAGGTTGCGAGTTCAACTTCCAGCAAGTGTTTACACGTCCCATCGTCGTATCTTCAGGGTCAATAATATGAGTCCCAACTTGCTAGAAAACAACAATGGTTGTCTCATGGATGTACTTGTTCTCCATCATAGAAACGTGGAATTGCCACTGCACCCCCAATTAGCACGGTTGGCTAGGTACGGTGTGAAAGAAGTTCAACATACATACGTACCGTTGAGCCAGTGCTGTGAATGGAGATGAGCAAATTCTCCGGTGCTCATGTGAGCAGGGAGGTGTTTTGGACTGTGGCTTCATTAGTTTAATAATCGCGGAGAGAAATGCATGGGCAGTCTGTATGTGCGGGTGCATTTTTTGGGAGCAGTAATCATCGCACTGTGCTATGAACCTCGCAGCATCATGAATTCAATTCCTGTTCATGGACAACATCAGTGACATAATATGAACTGGTGCTTGGCCTCACTTATATCAACTCAGTATGAAGGGAGTGCTTGGCACTGTGTGTAGAATTCAGCCTCGGTGGGACACGAGGGGTGGTCAGTGCATGTTTGATGGCCGCACTACCCTCTCGTGCGCTTTGCCGATCTTAATAGATGCTCCTAACAGTACTTGCCCCAAAAGAAGTCTGTAACAGGCTGCACATGAGAGTCTGCGTGAGGAGAGTGGTGGTTTCGTAGCGTGTCGCTCATTGGAAGCAACAATCCTGATAAATTTC